AAGTTAACATGTATATAGCTAAGTAATAATATATTAGATAATAATAGAATAATAGATAAATAATAATATATTTGATAAGTAATAATATTTTTGAAATTTAAAATAAGATCTAGAATAAAAAGAAATATTCCTTTCCAAATTTCTTATTCGAAAGAACAGACAATCGATTTTCGTTTTTATATATTCTAAGATTAGAAAAATTTGTGTAAAAGATATTAAAAATTAGTACAAGTTTTTTGCATATAAACTACATCATTAAATAAACGTGAAATATAATATTGTTATTTTTATATTTTTAAATCAAAAAATATACAAGCAACAATAAAGGTAGCCCGTTTAAATTACAATTATAATTCGTTCAAATTATAATTATTGATTACAAATGTTTATATAATATTGCAGAATATTATATAAATACATAATCCTCTTTTATTTGAATTTGTATCTTTCATGTTGTACGTTTCATTTTGATTGTGTGTATATGTTTTATGCGTTAAGTATTAATAAGTATATGTGCCAATGAACAGCCGGAAATTACTTGTACATCGCGCGTAGCCAATATTTGCGCTCTCGCTCTCTGTCTCTGTCGGCACCCCATTTGGCATACGTCCTTCGGACACGTGTGACGTACAAAAAGCACTATTCCCACGCCTTCGAGAGATACTCGTATTTCCATTTTAGCCACTTTAAGCGATCCGATATGTATATATCGCGTGTTTATTTACTTATTCCGGTTAACGCGCGTATGTCACGACTGCGTTATATATAGATCATCTATTGTGATCTTTGCGGGGATATAAATATCATCCTAATCGTTGGCTACGATAATCTCTTCGTGCGTGAGCAAACAATTCTTGTTTTTCTTCGGTGTTCACAACAAAAATTATTCATACGTCATTTTAACATGCGTATAAATGGAATAGCGTTAGTCATTGAAACATCAAAATGTTATTAATTTTTTTTTTAGTTTGGAATAATTTATTAGAATATTTAAAAGCATTTGAAATTGTTCAAATTATTACAGCCTTGCTGAAATAGCGATTGTGATATAGATATGAATCAACGTGTTATGAAAATAAACAGTTTTGGCATCCAATACGTTTAAGATTTGCCAATTTTATCTGATTCCAGTAACATATTTCCTTTGATATATTTAAAAGTACAGATAACCGATCTCTGTTCTAAATAAATTTGATTAAGAGCTTTCTCTTTATTTGGAAATTATATTTTAAATTTACAGGAAAAAAGCAAGTTTATCGTACATAATTAAACTTAGAATTTAAAATTTGTATCGAGTACAATCTATGCGAATATATTGTATAATAGTTGCGTTTCGCTTGTGTTACAAGTATTCCAATTATGTGGGTGATAATGTCGCGTCAATAAAATGATATCGTGGCGCTTCGTCGACTTTGCAAATATTTGCGACAAGTGGAAATCGCGTTGACGTAGCTGCGCTCACGCAATTTGTGACGCGCAAGAATCGTGCGACTAGAGATTCAAATTTGTGCAATGTGTGACTGTCAGTTAAAGCCCGGGATTACCGTGACCTCCTGACCTCGGGAATACGCAGGATTTCCAGCATTACGCGATGATGCAACATGGATGATTTCGATCAGTATCGATAAAATAACAAATCTCGTCCCCGATAGTAAATTTAAAATCTCCATTAATCAAATCAATGTCTTTTTCTCGAAGAGATAGCATTTTCACATATATATTGCACACATATAATGTTTGTTTAAAATTATATTTTTCTATTAATGAATCCTGCTAAAAGAGATAATATCTACGAAGAGATTAATCCTCTCTTGATTTTTTTATCTAATATACAACTTATCTTTCTAAAAATCAAATAAATCTTGTCCTCGACAATAAATTGAGGATCTCCATTAATGAAATGAATGTCTTTTGGGAAAGATTTCATTATTTGTTTAAAATTATATTTTTCTATTACTGAATCCTCTACTAAAAGAGATACATATTTGAAAAGCGAAAAGATTAACCTTATTTATTTCTTTCATCTAACTTTCATATAACTTTTCTTTTTTCAAAAACAAATTTCGCTCCTGATAATAAATTTAAGATTGGAAGGGATAGCAGTTCCATTATTTACTTAAAAAATTATATTTTTCTATTACTGAATCCTATTAAAAGAGAGATCATTTCTGCGAAAAGATTAATCATATTTATTTTTTCTAATAAATAACTTGTTCTTTTCCAGATTCTTTCAGATTTTTTTCGTGTCTTAAAAACGATGAATTTTATTTTTTTTCTCGAAGGATTTCCAAATCCTTACGGAGAGTACAGGGTGCGTTTGTTCGGGAGAGGGCAGAAAGAAATGGGAAACAGTAACATGATCTTGCATTAATTAATCGCGCGAGGCTCTCGAAGGCCGCCAGGCATGGTTTGAAGTTTCTAATCTCTATAATGGAACAGCCGCCTCAATTAGGAGGGACTTATTTTCGCCGGGCCGCGATGTTTGAGCGGGCATTTGTGTAGCCACGCGACCGCGCCACGCGTCGCTCGTTATACCCCGATGGTCGTCGATGGCGATTGTTTCCCCCCGTCCGCGAAAAAATGATTGCCCGGCTCGCGTTGCAATAATCGTAAAACGGTTTCAATGAATCATGCAAATGGCAGATTTGTCTCGATGACAAATCCCGATTGCTGTCTTGTCGGACTTTGCATCGCGATCACAGTCCATTTGACGGATCGAGTCCAAAAGGGGAGATTCGTACGTCATACTTTCGCGAAAAAAAAAACTATATTTTATCGCCTCTACAAATATATCTTTTTTTTCGTCGGTAACTGTATCGTTATTGATTTTCGCGAGAACGCACGTTAGCGATAGTTGAAGATAACGATTAACGCCAGCCTGGGGGGGGATTAACGGGATCGAGTCTGATTAACGAATCGAAGTGTACTTATGATTTCGATTCCGGAGAACGATCTTTTCGTCGACGGTGCGCTCGAATGTTATGACAATTATGAGTTTTCCGTGGGGCACCCGGGGGCGGCACGTGCCCCCCGACGTACGCACACGTCAGGGGGGGAGGAGGGAAGGGGGGACACGCACGGCGCGACGCGTGCCGCCGCGTGAGAACGGCCGCGCTCACACGCGTTACATGCACACGACACGCACGTGTGTGCACGCAGCGGCGAGATAAAGAGAAAGAGAAAGAAGCGAGTGCGTAAGCGCTACCGGGATTTACTCTTGCGCTCGCTCTCGACTTCTCGCTCGTTGCCTTAGTTTAATGCACCCCCGAAGCGCCGATTAAATTTCGTTCATGTACTCGCTTCTCGTTCTCGTGATATATAATCTATTGTTTAGATAAATGCGTGTCTATATGTTGAAAAGATTTTTTACGTTTCATATAATCATCGTTATTCATGTTTCTTACGTTATATTATTTTTCAAGTAATGTAATAAATATTGTATAAGATATACATGCAATTAGTTTATAATATAATACATATATTGACGGAGTATGTTGATCAGATTTCATGTCATTAATATTTTTTCATATATTGCATTCGGTAAATATATCAAATATAATATAATATATCCGAAAGTTAATAACAGAGCTGTATCACTTAATCCCATAAAGTTTATAAATGCTTTTTGAGATACAGAGAAACGAAATAATAATATATACATACATATATCGAGATATAATATGCGTACAGATATAACGGATGCAACTTAAATGTAATTAATATCGATCGGAATCAAGATAAAGTTATCATATATCAACGTCTTGTCAACCAAGGCGATTGTGCCTTTCGATGAATTCTCGTCAATCATTTGTAGATTATAATCCAATTCGTTCTTATCCTCATCTATTCCCCACGGGCCATTGAACACACTCGTTCCATATTCCACCATATAGTATATTGCAGTAGTATGGATTTGCACGCACGCGTACCTTGCTTATTGAATTGAGCATTGATTAATCGGTGTATCTTGCAGTCTCTTAGAGATAAATAAATACAGTTAGAGATAATAAGTTATATTAATTTTTCTTTGTGAATATTTTATAATTTTTACGAGCAGATAAAAATTATCGAATATATATTAATAATAAAGCTTGATAAATAAATATTTATAAATATTATATAAATATTTATATATATAATATATATAAATATTTATTTAATTAGATTCAAAAAAACTTTTGACAACAAACAGACAAATTTTTATTTGTTAATAATTTTTTTATACACGTTAATAATTTTTTAGTAATAAATAACAGTTAAACTCTTTTAAAAGTTAGTTAGTAAAAGAATATTTGTGTTACAATGTCTTTATACTCTCTCTATAATTTGATATATACATTCATCTTTCACGATTCACACCATTCTATCTTTAAGAAAATTAGAATATTTAAAAAAATTCTCAATTTAATTTTCAGAGTTTGAAAAAATTAAGAACTATTAAAATTTTAAAAATCGAAATTCTACTAATTATTTTATATCCAAAAGTCAGAAGAAAGTTTTGAAAAAATGTAGCAAAATTTTCTCATTAAAAAAAAATAAAATATTGAAATTTGAGTGATCGAAAAATTTCACAACTTTTCGATTCAATTAAATAACGGCCAATACGGTTTTCTTGTCAAAATTTTCAGTTATAAGTAATTTGTAGCAGTACGCAATTTGTGGAATGATATGCATAGACATCTTCCTCCGTCCGCGGTATTTAATTCCATCAATTAAAATGATTCCGGTCGGAGGTGCCGGCGCCGCGGAAATTACTATTGCGTCAAGTCGATCGTAATTACCGGTCGCCCATTAACCTTTCTATCTCCGTAAGGGTTAATTGCCTCGAGCGGACCACAAGAGGAAAGCATTTCCACGAGAGATCGTACCGTGAGTGGGATGCGGTGGATACCCGCGAGCTCCGCGCTCGGGGATAATCGTGCGGGGTCGGGTGCGGAGTCCGGGGCTGGGGCCGAGGTAATAAATAGAGCAACGCGGCGATCCGGAGCGGTATTTCGTCGCGTGACGCCGTGACGCGCGCATCGATTCACGGGCCGACGACGAGGGTGCAAGGGCGGGTAGACGCAACTACGGCCGAAAATCAATCCCGAACGCGTGTATCGCACTCGCGCGCGCGACGACGAGGAAAATAATCGGCGAGGCTGTTCTCCTGCTGGGAGAGGCGAGAAGGACGGTGACATCCGAGCCGGTCGCGATGCTGAAGAAATTTTTCGGCAAGTCCGGCCGCAGGATCCTGCGGGTAAGCCGTTGTCCATCAACGGATTAATCGCCTCTCCTCCTCGATCGGGTCTCCCTTGGACTGTTGCATGCACGCACGCACGTTTCGGGCGCATGTTGCGACCTAATTTCACCTGGACACTGACCGGTTTCGCATATTGCTCGATAATTAAAGGGCTCGCGCAACGTTTACTAAGATGAATTTCGACAACGTGTGATTAACTCGCACGGTTTCCTTCACATGTTCCATTTATTGTTAGACGTAAAACTTTTGCGCTAATTATTGCGGATCGATGTTTATAGATACCTGTCGTTGTGTCCGATTCTGAGATAATCCAGTCGTGTAATTACAATAAGAACTCCCGTCGATCTCTCTCCGCGAGAGAGAGAGTTCTGTTTTTTCTTCCCTTGTTATTTAAGAGCGATGTTTTTTTTTACAGGCAATCAAAAAGCTGTCCACTAAGAGTCGTAAGGCCAAAAGGTCGCGCAATCCCAGCTCCTGGCATACGGCCATTCCGGACCTCGAAACGACCTCGCTTTCGTGGTCTCTGCCATCCTTAGACACCAAAAGCATCGACACGTACATGACGTACGTTGCCGAGAACCAGGACGACTGCACGTCGAGTTGTTGCTGTTGCGACGAATACGAAGAGAACCAGAAGAACGAGAATAGAGAAAACGAGATGATAATCTAACATCCGCATCCATAAGCGACATGTATCGCTCGTTCATTTATCGCTATTCAAATTCGTCGGCAGTCTAGCCGTCCAAAAGGGTGGCAAAGAATCGCAGGCGTACGATTCTTAATGATATTTAACCCTTAACCGGTAAGTATACGAGTATGTTTTTTATTTCTTGACAGTATTTCTGTTAATGCAATCGCAATGCAATAACGACACCAAAGAGAATGCTCGTCGAAAATGTATAATCGGTTAAGGGTTAATCACGATCCCCTCCGTAATCCGTTCCACGCACAGGGAGCGCTTTCGCTCTCTTTTATTTTTTGAAATATATCGTATCATCGAATGAGAGAGAATGAAAAAGAGAGAGAGAGAGAGAGAGAGAGAGAGAGAGAGAGAGAGAAGTTTTATAAACTTTAAATTATTATAATTATCGTATCATACGATTTTTCAGTGCATTATCGTGAGATAAGAATGTGGAAAGAAGCGATGCTTTATTTCCACACAATTAGTCTTCCAATCTAGATTTATCGATTTATTTTATAGTTTGCGTTTTGACGTTTGCACTTATTTTGATCTCATTTAGTTACGTAATTTCAACAATGATAATGATAGATATATATTACATATTTATTACCATATATGTTCGTCGCGTTATAATTACAATAATTTAATAATGATTACGCAAACGCGATTATACGTTCAAAATTAAATTGATTGTTGACTTAATCTATTCAGTTCGATGACAATTTTTTCCCCACATTTTGTCGTACAATAAAAGAAAAAAGCGCGACATTTCTTCTCTTCGCGCGTCATCATCTCTTTCAATATAGATAATAGCAATATGTGACGTAGTACAAAAAAATATATATCGCCTAGCGTGTTATCATTCACGGAAGAATGACATTCGAAATATAATACAACTTTTTTCCACCTATCATGTAATTTTATCACATCGAGTTTAACTCGCATAATGATTCTTTTGCAAGATACAATTTTTTTCGATATCGTGCACTATTTCAAGTAATCAATAATTTATTTTCGCGCGAGACGCTCAAAAGCTACGCCAAAGCTGCACGTTTACATGACGGAGCTTCTCCAAATAATTCATTGAAGATTATAATAAAAGAGATTTTATAGAAAATTAAATTTTTTAATATAATTAAAGTAATAATTATAAATTATAATAATAAAGAAGATTAAATTGTTTACTTTTCTATTTGAATTATACACTCGCATACGTCTTTTTGGGGCAGCTTTCGAATATTGACAAATCAAAGCGTAAAATTTAATTAATCAATCTCACGTAGGACACTCTAATTTCCTCCGCTATTTATCAATGAAAGGGACTTTGTAACTCGATGTCGTCGTCACGTTGATCGTCCTAAGTGTCCAATATTTCTCGCGTTTATGGTGTGCCTGTTAGATTAGTTAGCCGATACAATCGATCCTTGATACAAGTAAACTCATATTTTTATTCCTCGGAATAAAAGTATCGTATATTTCGAGACAAATAATACTTAAAAAAAAATATTGTACTTAAGCGAACGAATTTTCTACGATTTCGTTTCAATCCTTTTCGACAAATTCGAGTTATTGGGTATCGAGGACCTTTATAATGCAATAAATCGCACCGGCCTGGTCACCCGAACCGAGGTTTTTTATTTCCGATTTATTTCCGGCACCTTCGCTCAAAACGCAAAGTCAATCCTCACTGAAGTGATGTAATCGCAATTTTTCTTCCTACGGGTCGATTTGTAAGAGAGGAGCATATAAGAAGAGAGAAGAGCTTTAACGACTTATATCTTATATATGTATAGATGCAGAATTTATATGTATATATATATATAAAATAAAAGAAACAGAATCTATATATATGTTGTATATGGATGTGTACGTAAGTGTACGCAATGCGTGTTGATATACTTTATCGTAAGAGCATTTCCGATAAGGCTGTGACTTTGTAATGGATATGTGAGTGTCATGAATAAAATGGTTTTATTGACGATCCCCGACGTTGTGTTCCCGTGACCCCTGTCATCGCGGTTTCATTGATCGTGTGACATGTGTGCCACATACATATATGCGCCGTATGCAGCATAATATGCAGTATAATATGTACCGGTGTCACATACCAAGACAACCTCATACGCGGGACCTTCGTTTGAATTGGTAATGGATATCGATCCGCGCGCGATTTTCTCGTTGCCGTGTAACGATCATTCTGGAGTTACGTGTCATAAGGGTTGGCTATAATGCTTCCTTTTGCGACAAGTGAATAAGGCTATAGTCATCTCTGTAATTTCGAGTCGTTTTATTTTATTTGGCGTCCTACTTTCGCGAATATCTGTATTAACGATCTATAGAGAGAATAGGAAACTTAATAGTGATTTTCAAGAGAAAACCTTCAATTTTATCCTCTCACGTTGCTTTATTTTTTAATATTCATTTAAAATTAGATTCTAATGTGTGCAATTGCAATTTGGAACTTTAACATTTTTTGTACATCTTTTAAGCCAGTATTAATTTCGAAATAGTCTAGCGTGTTAAAAATAAGGGATAATAGAAAGTTTTTTATTCATGACATTTCAATATTAATCTAAAAAAATTAATTATAATAAACTTTAATTGATTGAATCATACGAGCAATCATTCCAATAGAATAGTCTCACAGTCAGTTAATCTTCAAGCAAAGAAATTATTGAACGCTATCCGTTTAAAATACGAAACTTTACATTGAATATATTTTTAAGCGAAAAGTAACAATTGAAAAGTAACAATTAAAAAATAATATTTTAATTTTCAAAAATATCGTTACACAAATATCGTTTCCACGTTTAAAGCAATTCTAAATTTTCATTATAAATTAATCTTTAAAAACGAATATAATCAAGCAATTGATCCTTTAAAAAATCTACATGACATAAAATTTAATTATTTCTAAATAAAATATTTATTTTAATTGATTCTTCAGTTGCATTTATATTTTAATTAAGCTTTATTCTAAAATATTAATTTATGTGGTTCTGACGATTAAACAAACTCTATTACTGCTAACACAGAAAAAAGTCTTCTACCGTTAATTTGATGGGAAATGTCAAATTTTGACAAGAGCTCGCTGAACGCGTTACGTGAATGCGTTTCGCAATTATGCGCGCGTGCGACCATAGAAAAAATCGTGCGTAACGAGCACGCGTGAACAATAGCCGCACGTGCCCACGCAATATCAGTAATTCCCCGAAAATTAGGTTTTGTCGAACGTTGCGCGAGCATAAATAGTCGCGACTAATCGTTGACCGCAGTTCGTTAAAAAAAAAAGGAAAGAATAAGTAAACGTGTGTGCTGTAAAAGTAATGATTCGCAAAACTGGTTGTGAACGTAACGCGAGCGGGAGGGTCGTAAGTCTCATTGTTCTTCGTCGGGAATATTCCGCGTCTGCGAAGGGGATTTTGCATGAGAAAGGAAGAAAAACGATGCGCGTCCTCCTCCCCGATTGCCGTAAACTCTCTCGTCCGCAAATTTGTGTCGGTTCTCTCTTGAAAGCCTCCGGGTGCGTGAAATCCGCACAAAAGAAGTAATATACAACGAGGTGTTTGACCGTCAACGTTTCACTATCGACAAATATCTGCAACGTTTAGAATTATTTCCTGGTAGCTATTATAGTAAAAAAAGTTATAGAGACCAAAGATTTTTTTTATATAATTAAAAAGTGATGAGATTCCTTTGAAGATTGCTAAATGTTTCGGAAACGCGTACAATTTTCAATGATAGTATATTTGAATATCAAAAATCAACGCTCCATTAAACTTGAATTTTTTTCGGATCGAAGAGAAATAATTCATATTTGTTTCGTTACATAATAAGCGACAATGGACTGATCAGAAGAATATTTCGAGCGTAAATAATTTCATAATAGATAGTTGTGCGTTACAGGGTCGTGCAAACATTGATAATATTTTGATATGTCAAAAGTATCTAAATTCGTAAAAGACCGATTAGTACTTACGTATCTCGATTTATACATTCCTAGCAACTATCTCACAAGAGAATGTAGGACATTCGTATCTGATGCTTCAGTTTCGTACGATTCGCGTGAATGCCGATTAATGGCCATGTATCTCGGAAATGTATTATCGATTGGATTCTCTTGAAGGAAAGTGCAAAGGGGAGGAATCACATGCGACAAGATTCTATTTGTATCCTCGTGTGTTATCGTTTTATTACAAAATCGTATTGCAAAAATACTTGGACCTCTCACACGTAAACATCAAAATGCATAAATGGCACGTTCCGGTATGCGTACGATAATCTCCTCTCACCCTCTCTTCTTGTCTTTGTCTTCTTTCTTTTTATTCACGCTGGACTTTACACGCTCGCGCAATCGTTTATCATTCGGAAACGAATGAGGCAATTATACAAAGCCAATACGCAAACCGGTAATCGATTACGAGACAAAATTACAAATATGTCTTATTATTTACATTTAAGCGTGTGTATATACAATCTATGTACAAATTTTCACTATCAATAAATATCTTTTTTAGTTTAGGTATTCATATATGACTATCATTGTCTCACTCATTGGAAATGCATCGATATAGTTTTGGTCGTTGAATATTCCTGAGATATGTTAATAAAGTATAAAATATTGTACAAAAAATATATAATATGTATATACACGAAATTCTCGCTGCTCATATTGACTCATTTCGCGAATAATTATATTAAACACGATATGCGCTACTCATAAATCTTATAAATTGTTTATTTTAGTATCAACAAAAAATACTTCAAAACGAATGAGCGCGAAATATATGCTATTGCTTAAATTGTTTTACGAATAGATTGGCTGATTCGATTAGTAAAAGAGGGCCCTTATGTTCTCCTCGTTGGACAGAAAAAATATTGACAAAAATACTTGTAACATAAAATCCAATGACGCATTACGTCATCGTTTTCCTTGTACTGCAAGAAGAAAGTAAATTCTACAATCTCATTAGTGTTCTTATTGTCGGCTTTTGCACCAAACGACCGCGATCGTGGCCGTCGATTGTGCATCGAGGGCTCAAGGTCAGTAGGCCAATTCCGCGCCCCAGGGTCGATAGGGTTTCCCGTGCTGCTGCTGGGGATACTGACCCGGGTACTGGCCCCAGCCGCCCAGAAGCGGCGGCATAGTCCCTGGACCGGGCGGCATCCCGGCGGAGACCGTGCTCGCCGGGGGCTCGTAGCTACTGGCAGTGGAGGTGGAGGTCAACGTCGTAGACGCCGCAGGTACCGCCGAGGGCACGGCCGACGGTGGATGTTCCCGGTGGAAGCTCTGCAGATGCGACAGCAGTCGTAGCCGAAGCGGATCTCTCTCGTCCAGGCCCTCCATGGTCACCAAGTACCGACCCACTTCAGCAGCGCACTCACCCCAACCTACCGCGTGATAATCCATGGCTAGTTTTGTGCTGTCATAGCCTTCCGGTCCTGTAATCATAATTTACATAGCGGTCTATTGTTATTAATGTATGATATATAATAATAACGTAATATAATTTAAGAATTAATGTTATATAATAACAAATGATAAATATCATATCAAGTTTTTAAAATACATTTAAGAAAGGAATTTTGATGAATATAGATATTTAATAAAATTTTGACATCTAAACAATTGAAAGAAATTTTAATCGAGGTGAAAATTTTTATCTAATTTCAAATTATAAATAAATTAGAATTTCTCTCTTTAAAGTTATTAAATGTCTTGGATAGACAAGAAAAGACAATGTTTTTCAATCGTTGAAATTTCAATTTAACTTTGAATTTCTATAATGACTATATCAAAATTTTTTTGATATGATTATTAAACATTCCTCCTCTATAATGTAATCATTTAAGACGTAATGTTTCGATAGGAAAATATTACTTCTCGCGACAAAGATTTCGCGCTTTGAAAAGAAGCAGGTATCGAAAGATGATATCGCAGTTTTTCCCGGGATTTTTCCCGCGATTGTCTCCGGACGACTCGCAGATTAAGAAATGCATCTGCGGGCCGAGATCTTTTGTGCACTTTTGGTTTTTGCGGCGTAACAATGCCTGACATACGTGCATCGAGGCGAGATGGGCGCCTTGGCTTTAGTAGCAGGCGATTCATTGTGGAATGGGACAGGTAGCGTGGGAACCATTTAGACCCCCATAGACCAACCAGGCGTCTCGTACGCGAGATACATACGCACCAAATGAACGAGTAGAGTATCCCACGTTATTATGCAAGTTCTCAGACCCCCCGCTCTATACAAACATCACTTGGAAAAGTCTATCGCGTATGTAGACTACTACGTATGCATTAAATCACGTGCGATCGATTATTGTTGAAGCCTTCGATAAGTGGTTTCGAAACTTTGGGGGGGAGAAAAAGGAATTTATAAAAAAGGAATCTACTGGAATTTCTCTTTACTTACATTTAAAAATTAATAATAACAAATTAAGCGAAAGATAAACAAAATGTCAAACCATTCAAAGTGTATGTGAATATTTTCTTTGCAATCTATTAATAAAATGACAACGAAATATTGTCCGATAAATATTGATCTTTAATCGACAAACATCAATATTAAAACAACAAATGTCATTATCGAATTCTTCAATATTAGAGTATATCTCTAGCCAGTCTTGAAATATCGCAATATTAAATTTAATCGCTCGCTTTTAGAAGAGAGAAGAGTGAAAGAAAGGAAGAAAAAGAAAGAGAAAGAGAGGCACAGGCCAGTCGCGCCCTTCGCGACGTGCACGCATTTACAAATAGAGAGCCCGCGCACACGATCGTGGACGCACGTGTGGTGGTGCGTGTCCGTGCAAGCTTATATGCGGCTCTCTAGCTGGTTTCCCACAGGGTTCGACATCTGCCCCAGGCCGATCCGTCGAGCGCCTCCCTCGCGAGGGGTGCGACACGCGGGACACCTCACCCCCGGGCCCGCCGCCACCAATCGTGGGAACACCACTTCCAGAGAGTCGTTGACTTCCTGTGCTTCCCACAGGATCTCCGCGCCCGGTCCAGCACCTGCTCACGTGTGCGGATCCCGTTTGTACGGCGGCCTTCACGGGAAACCATATGCTACTACACCTTGTCTCGTGATTTTCTCTACGCTCTTCTCTGCCTCTTTCTCGGAAATATTTCTTGTAAATCGTTCGCAATAACGTTATCAATATTGTTGAGAGAATTGTATCTGACATTTGGAATCTTTAATATCCTACTTCAATCAATATTTGCGAATTGATCAAATTGATTGGTTTTTCTGTTATTCTTATAACGAGTATAGCTACCGACGACGAAATGATATATTTATCACTTGTATAAAGAATGCTGAAATAATAAGAGAATATTTTTTTTAATTAGAGGATATCCGCATGCATTTCAGATATTATTATATTGATACAAAGATCTCGTTTACGAATCTACGTTAATCTTTCTGGGATCTACGTAATAAGGAAACGCAGCAACGACAGATGGGCATTCGGTTACGCAGTTACAGTTAGTGTTCTCTCTGTTCGCCCTTACGGTCAACAGGTGTCTTCCGGTAGGAAAAAAAGGCCGGCTAACAGAGAAACGTAATAATGGCGTAAAAATCAAATTGGCAGTCGAGAGATTATTAATACCGGGCCCGAGAAATCTCGAACTGGAAAGGGTGTCTCGTTAACCTCGGAGCATCGTCTTCGAGTTCCGCTACGCATTCACAACAGGAAAAGGCGTTTCTTCCGGATTCGGGGATCTTATTACTCGACACCGTTACATCTTTCGATCTGCACTTCCGTTACGTCATTTCCGTTCTCGCATGCGAAGCGGTAAATGTTAAGTGGTCTCAAGCGATCGCTCAACATCGTTTTATGATAACACAACGTACACTAATTAAAATTAATTTCTTTCCATAGTTAAAAGCTTTCTTATAATAAATTAAGTTAAATTAAATAAATTAAATCGTTATTAACATAAATAATTTGTTGGCATCCTAAAGAAATAAAAATAATGTACCGTAATTGAATTGCTATATTTACAAAACAATTTAATTTAAAGAAATAACTTTATTTCTTTAGGAGCAGAGGGTTTTTTAAAAAAGATAAAGAAGAATATGAAACTCACCCTTATTGCGTAGCGTGCGCAAATGTTCGACAGTAAGCTGCAAGATTTCCGCTTTTTCTAGCTTTCCGCTGTGAGGATCCCTAGCGGCCGCTGGTACTAATCTTCTCAGCTCACCGAGGGACGCATTGATTCTGTCGCGACGCTTCTTCTCGATCATCCCCCTCCTGCGTTTCCGCGATGCGTGCTGGCAGGAGTCTCCTCCGGGCGAGTTGCATCTGCGATGGAAATTTTGAGCAAGGGTTGAGACATAAATGCAACATGAGATTTGAGGACGGGTTAAGACACTCGATGGTTTCTTTGTCCTTTATGATAAACCGTTATAATCAGAATATTATGAGCAGAAGAGAGAGGGGGGGGGGAGGAGGAGAAAGAGAGAGAGAGAGAAAACTGTTTTAATTACATATTGTCAATTCGTCTTGCGACAACTCATTTAATTAATTTCGACTGGACTGAAACAATGCTGTTTTAATTATGATTTTGTCGTCGAAACAAAGAGACATATGCCACATCAAGAAGCCCGACCGATAAAATTTCTAAAGAACAAAAGATTATTTTAATAAAAACTTTCACGTTTCATTTTAAAGTGAAGAGATCTTAATTATCTCATTTCCCTGATTTTTGGAACAATACAGGAATTCTTGCTCGATGTTCTATAAATTAGGAACTTTTTCTTTAAGAAACTAAATTTTTGCAAATTATAGGATGATTTAAATTATTATTTAATAATTATTGAGATTATTAATTATTGATGATTTGATAATTATTAACTTTAATGTAATAATCGCATGGATTTTTTTCTGTATTAGACAACACGAGATGTCGCAAGAATATTGATACACGAGATATTGAAAGAATAAAAAAAAATATATACATACGGTTCTTTGCCGCTCTCCTCCGAAAACACATCGTCGCAGTCAGAATCGCTCATGGTCCTCTTCAGATTTCTCTGTTGATGTCCTTGATTTTGTTGTGGTTGCTGTTGCTGCTGCTGTTGTTGCTGTTGCTGGCTACTGTCCTGACTTCTTAATTCCGTATCGATCTTCAATTCCAAAAATTCATGATTAGACCGCATCTCTGACATATCAGATCGCATGCCTGGCATATCTTGATGTCGAACGTCCTGATGCCTGGCGATGTCATGCCTGGATAACTCCTGATGCCTCTGTATCTCCGGATGTCGAAGATCCGGCCGCTGCATCTCATGCCGCAACTCCTGGTTCCTAAGATCACCTGGTACCGCGGTAGCGTGTCGCAGCTCGTGAGGTCCAGGCGGCCGCATATCGTGATGATGACGCATATCCGGATGCTGCGGCGGCTGATACGGTGGATGATGGGGCGGCGGTGGGTAACCCCAATGATGACCCGACGGCGGCGCCGGTAGCGTTGACAGGTGACCTGGTGCGACTGCGCCGGAAGTGATTTCGGAGGAGAGCAGGGTGCTGTTGTCATCGGAACGTGCGACTACCACTCGCCACATGTTGCTCCGTGAGAGGATCGGACGGAGGGGATAAGACGGCGTAAACTTCTTGCGAGTCAAAGAAATACTCAAATCGATCGCGTTACCGTCTGATGCTGGGAGCGTTCGATTCCATGACGATGCGAGATGTTATTGCGGTCGACACGACGGAGAATGAATTAATGGTCTCTGATAAGCATCGACAACTTGATAAAGGCAGGGAGCCAATCAGATGATCCAGGTGACGATAGATGTTATTACTAGATGGAAATTATATCTGATTTATAATTTCTCAAGAGAGAAAAATGTGATGATTTATTCGAATTTTATCCGGCTGAACTCTTTGATCACAATAAAATAGGTCATACAGACACTGTTTATATTTGAACAAATCCGCAGTATTAATCGAGATGAAATCAAACACAATTTTTTCACTCATTAAAAAATCGCATAGCTTTCAACATCTATTTGAAAAATGGATGACCATATTTGCAAAATCTCCTCTGGAAAACCTGAAGAGAATCGAAGAATTTTCACTGTTGAAGAGGTAATTTCCTTAAGGATCTAATTTTCATTAAACTCGTGAATCCTGGGGAAGATTATGTTGCTATATCGTTGTCGTCAAATTCTCCAGATAATTTCTTGACGAATCTTGAAAATTCGAGTGTTGCGTTCGAGTGTCGACGACTGTTTCGCGAGATCTTGAGGAAGGTCAGGGCTGAAGTGATGACCGCGAAAGGAGCAATCGGTCCTGGCACTTGTTTCGCGACGGCGGTAGAGTTTATCGGCGCTCACGTGCCGCGGCTACCCGCGACGTCGCTCGCGGTCGCGTGCGTGGAAGAAGAAGTCGCGCGCTGGACGCACTCTCGGCTGCTGCAGTTGCTGCAGGATGTGCGTGTGCACTGGTCGCGTGGCGGCGGACGTATGTCGTGTGCGGGAGGACGCAGGGACGACACACGACCGCGTGGTGTATCCCGCGATCCTGGTGGGGATGATCGGAGGTGTGCGCCCTCGGGATGGAGTGGGGCACCGGAGGGGCCCCGTGCGGCTCGTCGAGGTGAAGAGCGAAACCCCGGCGCTCGGGAGGGAGCGAGAGGGTACGTACATCGTCGTCGAAGGGGGAACGAAAATCGGGAGGGGCGACTTTCGTGGGAACGTCCGCGGCGACTCGTGTGCGCGAGCGTGTGTGCGAGCGTGGGCCCTTGATTGTGCGACCGCCGGCCGGATTCTGCGTTGCACTCGGTCAAGGAGACCGAGAGGTGGAGGAAGCGATCTTCTCGTCGCTCAGGCTCAAGCGGATATAAGAGAAGAAAGGAGCCGGAAACTGCTCTTTTCCATTCCCGTGTGAATTCTTGCTGTTTGTGCGATGTTATCGTTCCTATCACAATAGAATATTATATATTAATATAAATTTTTACCATATGTTTAAAAAATTATATATAAAGCGTATGCCTCTAATTTCACAGCTTCATTTCATTTTCTTGTAAATTTATATTTACACCTTATACTTATAATTTTACTAATACTTTTATATTTACCACTTATATTTATATTTTTGTTATTTATTTATACTTATTAATGCAAATTTAATATTATAATTAATGATTATATTTAATAAAATTATTTCCGAATTTATAAAATTTCGAATTTATAAAACTGAGATTTTATCTCTCAACATCGAGATATTTAATTTTTTTCAAATTCCACAATTTCAAATGCGCAAGTGAAGGAAGGGAGAGTTCATCTTTATTCATTTACTCGAGAATGACTAATAAAATTGAGAAAACTGGTAAGACAATTAGTTTCTCTCCCTATTCTCCAATCTCTCAAAGTGATACGCGCGCCACCATGAAATCACTCTAGTACCACCCTTGTGAGAACCACCCCCTCCGCCTTCGCACACTCGTACCTCGGAGACGTTCACGCGTGTCGGAAAGGGCCGTTTGGGGTACATTCGAAGGGAGAGGGGATGCGATCACGATAAAGTTCACACAGGAATCGTATGCAGCACGCGCTCGCATGATTATCGATGCCTGGGAACGGAGCTGACTAATCGTATCATTAACTTTTCAGCGGAGATAAGTCCCGATTATGTGACATAAAGTCGGCGGCAAATAAATTGAAAAAGTTATTCTGTGAAAATGAAATTGTCCAAAAGATGTAAAGTCTAAAATACAACATTGTAAAAAATTATAGATTAATAGTAAGCGTAAATTAATATTATAGATTAATAGTAAGCATAAATTAATATTTATGCAAATTTTTTCTCCCTTTAAAGGGAATCAATAGATGCCTCATTTATATTTTTATTTTATTAAAAATTAGTTCGTTTTTTCTTTCATAAAAATGGTTCAAGAAGTTTTTCAGTCTTGCAAAGATGCACAAAGTCTTTGCAGTTTTGTAGAACAGAATAATGTATGCTATAAATAACATTTTCATTTGTGTAAAACATCTGATGGAACACAAGTTACGAAAACAATTTCGGGGATCTTGCAAAGGTATTTCGCTAGATCATACACGCGAGCTAAAGCCTGTTTCCTAAGAAAAACTTGGATATCGTAAATAGAAGTGAACGTACATGAGAGCTCGAACGCTATGTTTTGTACGAGGAAGAGATGAAGAGATTGGCTTATTTTCCTGGCATATTAAGAGGCGATTGCATGCGCGGCAGGCGATGAAAACGGCACGACGACGATCGCAGCGGGTATCGCGAAACGTGTATCGCGTCGCGTGCACACACGTCCAGCACACGTCATCACGCGATCAAGGGCGCGAGCAGAGAGAAAGAAAGAGAGAGAGAGGGAAAGGCATAGAGTGGATCGCGTGCCTGTTTTTTGCACCTCGCGCCGCCGATCGGCTATTCTTCGTTGCTCGAATTCACGAGAGCCCACCCCACGGATAGTCCTTACTCCGCATTATGTAATATCTTCCCGCGGACCTTGCGTGCCTTTTGATGCCTCCCGGATAGACGCACAGGAGGGTGCCCGGTTCCCATAGGTATCGCGTGAATGTGCGCTCTTCGGGCCGGAATTTTATGTAAAGGGATGATGTAAATCCAAACAATCGGGATTCTGTCTGAAAGAAATCATGCTCCTTTGAATCACTCTTTATAAATTAAAATATATCTTTCGACTAAAACATTCGTATTTGACTAATCGATATAACTCGTATGCAGTTTTATATCTATGATTTATATTTAATTATTTCGTTGTTTTATATAAATTATTCCGAGCGTATTTTCTGCATTGCGGGTAAATCGATTACGCTTATTGTCAGCCAAACGCGTAATAAATCGATATGCCAAGCGCTACGCAACATTCGTCAATATTTAAAAAAAGGCCCGAAAGAAAAGAAGGGACGATGTCTGAGTCACCGGGCCATTAAGCATTGTGCAGGTTACGATATCAATGACTTACATCATTCCGTATTACGGGCCGTGAGTAAGGCCAAAGTATCCGGCTTCCGGTCCGCACGCGACTTCTGCACGTGAAGACACGTGGCGCAAATCGAGGCGTTTGCATATACGTATATACACGCATGTGTGTCAATAAGTGCATATCTGCATCACTTCGAAACTGACGACACGGTGTTCCAATATCGATGTTCATTAATATCCACGTGTGCGTGTACTTTTTTCTGCCGTCCAAATCATCTTACTTGCATCATCTTACTTCTGTTAAAAAAATATAATATATCTGACATTATTAAAAATATGTAAAATATGTAAAAAATATGTAAAAATATATAAAAAAATATAATATATCTGACATTATTAAAAATTTAGAAGTTTGACAAAATATATCAGTTTTTTCTTTACCTAAATCTTTGCAGACAGAAAGAATATGCTATACGTTGAATAAATTCAGAGATGCTATGTGTATTTTTATACATTAAGTAAATAAAAAAATATAATAATACTCTCTCTCCCTTCTCTTCTTAATTTTTGCATTTCGCAATTCCGGGGAATCGCCCATATCTGTCGTTTTCGACGCGGAAAGCCCGGTACCTTCTATCGGCAAATATTTATTCATAATTTCGTTTCAATCATGCATATATATACGCGCTGATGTCGAGTGGATTTAGCCGCTGGTCAGTCCATCTTCTGGACAAACAACGCGAGCGGGAGGGATAAGGATACCGGCGTCATATAGGCACACACGAGCGTATCCCCATGCGTAAAGCAAACACGCATAAAATTACGTATTCGTGGTTCGCGTATCAGTCCGAACTGAATGTATTCTTAGAAAAACACGAAACACGATTGATAAAGCGAGGGAGAGGAGGATGGTCTATCGCGATACATTTGCCGGACCATAGTCGATCATGATTGCAACAATATCAGAATCCTCGTAGCACATCGCCCGAAGTCTTTTTTCATTTCCGTCCTTTTTTTATCTAGAATAATAGAAGGAAATTATTTTTATTTTTTACTCTATTAATTTCTCTAAAATTTTGTTTGTAATTAAATTCAGGCATTTTTTTATATAATAATGAAGAGAAAAATAAAAGAGATTTACAATGATTATTATTTAAGACTTTTTTAGAAGTGACATTTCTTGATGTAAAATATGATTGATATTATAATATTATCGATATAAACATTCTTCAAATGTAGCTTTTGCTACATTTTCCGAGGAAGAAATTTCTTGTATGGAGAAAGTTCTATTCTCGAAACATATTTTCTCTCTCAAAATATCATAAAGAAATACATATCGCAATTGATTAAATACACACATGTTCCTCCTTATGTTGAGCATAGCCACGATATCCGCTTTAATGGTGGTTTGTAACTATTGCGTGTCGCAACTTGCATTTCGCGTAAACGAAGCACGTCGGATGAACGACCGTTTCCTGGCCGACAAAAGTTAACGATAGTGGTCACTCACTCCCCCCCGATCAACCGGCAACTTGACCAGCACCATCGACAGTTGGCGACGACAATCGTCCGATAATTGGCGGACATTGTTAGACACGTTTGGCACGCACACGCAGCCGACCAGAGTGGACCGACTTTTCGTTTTACGATTTGTTGACCGGCGTCGCGATCGTGACACGGCCGATCGGAAATATGAATTTATCGCCGATCATGTTACGACGATGACGGTCCGAATAATGTATCGATTATGACGTGTTGTACATTAACCGCGTTGTCCTTCTGTGTTTGTCCTCGTAAATCTGCCGCGATGACTGGATGGATGCTGCGTGTGCATCGTGTATGCAATGTCGTCATAAAGTCGGTAGAACCCGAATTTGGATTGTCGTAGAAAACATTTCATGTTTATAATATTTTACGAATTTTATACATTATTGTTTACACAGTTTTCTAGGCTACTCTCTTGCTTGTTTTATATAATTCTAATATAAATCTTTTTATTATATATTAAATTTTAGGCAGATATTTCTCGTGATTGTAACAATCAGTTCTTTTCAATTGTTGAAGTCTTTATCTCGATTAATTTCCTGTTAAATCGGCACGCTTATAAAATAAGATTGTACAATATGAGTGAAAGACATCTTTGTTTCTCAATTAAGATTACACGTAGGGTGGTGGGATTTTCCTGATTTCACCGAATCATGCTTTCTAACACCATCTGTGTCCCTTGCGCCCTTTGAAAGATTGATCCGCCACTAATAAGTTACATTCGTACTTAACAACATTACATTGACTTAATTGGATTCGATTACTACATTTGATTTTGGGATTTCCAAATCAAGGTATTCTCCTTAAACGTTTCTGGGTATTTAATGTTCTAGAATAATTAAAGTAAAAAAATATAAATTAAAAAGTTTCTCCATAAATAATAAAGTCAATCTAAAAATAAATTCCATATTTTTAGATTGCATATTTTCTGTTACTATTTAGAAATACACGAGAGTATTTATTGCGTGTGTTTTTGTTTTAGAACGAGACAGCAAAAAAAATATCGAGCGATTCACGGTCCATTTGCTGCACTTTTCGAATTCCCATCGTAAGAAGAACGATTTTAATCGAAAAAAAGAGAAAAAACCGTATTTGGGGAAAAATAACGCAACTCTCTTTCAAGCGGATTGAATTTAAATACGCGCATCGGGAATTCGCACACCCTAAAATTACATCCCCATTTAAAAGTCGCCCCCAATCGTCATGGCGATTCGCCGCGCTCCAGGGCGGTTCAATTGCGGACAAGTGCGTCGCACGTTATGTGTACGCTCGTATATTAAACAATTTTTTCAACCACGATTTTAAAAGATGACAGCTGTCAGACTGAAAAACTTGACAGACCGAAACCGCAATGCGCGAACCGGACACGAGCGATTCATTAAGCGGTGAACTTCCCCAGATTTCTTTTCAAACGCATTATATATACAATAAAACCTCGCCAATCGGACGTATAACATATGAAAGATTCACAAGAGTATTCTAATCCCTCGATTCAAGTTAAAATAAATATAAATAAATAGAAGAGAGAGAGAAATTCTTTCTGTCTGTTGTCTAATATTTTATTATTTGCTATTATTATTAAAACGTAATCTATTTAATTAATTTAATATTATTTATGTAACCTGAGTACAAAAGATATTTGTTATATGTATAATATTAAAAAGAATTTGTTTATTATAATTATAACAAAATTTATTCTCTATTTTGTGTGCGTACGTGATATCCCATATAGCATCCTTGTTCTTTCGAATCCCGAGAGATGTCCAAAAGACAGAACATCCTGAAGATGTCTAATCGCCCAAAGATATCTTCTGGATACCTTCTGGACATCTTTTGAATATGCATGCTATGTGGGATATTATCGGAAAACTATATTTTATAATACTTATAGGATTTTTATTCTTTTCTTTTTTATTATAGTAATGTATGTCTTTATTAAACTGACTCTATGAAAATGTCACTGACTACTACAGTGACACAAGATTTCAAGAAGGTCAATATTTTACTGAACTTTGGTAAAATACTTTGTTGTTTTGTCTTATATCTTATTGATTATAATACAAAAATTTCATTGAAAAGTCAGAAATAACTGTACATATTTGCATAATGATATATATAATGAAACATATAATATTCAAATTCATGTATATTATATAATTATTTTTTTACTCTAAAGATAAAAATGAACAACTAAATAAATACTTCCATTTAGTTAAAAATTCCAAAAATATGTCTAATATTTTTTAAATAAAATATACTATAAATTTATCTCATGTAAATACATATATAAGATGAAAGACATAAGGCAAAGCTGTCGATAATCAACCAGCCATCGTGTCATCTCTCGGGAATTCGAAAGAACGATCGATCACCGTCTCAAATTTTACAATATCACGCCGCAACGCGCGAATTAAGATATATGATCGATGACTTTCCAATCGCCGCGTCACATTGTTCGACTCTAAAGGGCCCATGCTAGCTCGTTACATCGGTGCAATTTCCTAACTGATTGAAATGACACACATGCTATGCCACATTACATTGTAGTAGAAGCCTGCGGTTACGGTTTTATATGGAAGTTTGAGTACGCGAAGCGTGCTATTGCGTAGGTCGAACGACAAATAACAATCGATTTTTAAACGTGTGTATATACTTGCAAATTATTGGACTGAAGGTGGATAAAAAAGAAAAGAGAGATTATTTTCTTAATATAAATTATTGATATATTGATCAGGAAAACTCGACAATTAAATGAAGTTGAATTATTGAAATTAATATTATTTATATATAAGATAAATAAAAAATATATATAATTCTCTGTTCTTCTTTTTCTCCGAGGATAACATCCCGTAGAAAATGTCCGAATTTGAACGAGATTCTGCCGGTAAGCAAACGCGTTATAGGAAAATATATCCCGACAAGGAGTAACGTGAATTAATACCAATAAATTTCGCGCTTCAAAGCAAAACTATTTGTAAATATAAGTATTGATTTTTTCTCATTAATATAATTTGCATAAAAACATCCTTATAGCAAAAATTATTTTCAAGAAAAATAGATATAAAAAATCAATATTTATCAATATTTAATTCTGTGTAAAAAAATATTCATTATATTTCCGAAAATAATAGATGCATAATAGAAAATTATAATTACTCACTGCAACAAGAATTCCATACGTATATCAAAGGGAATGTCAAGGTGTTTAAATTGCAGAAGAAATTGTTCTTCAAGTTTAAGCGGGATCGAACTGCCATGGTGCTCGACGAGAAGATTGCTTGATGATGGTAAAAACGAATTATGTAGAATGATGCAAAAGAGACAAACAGGATGAATAACGGCATATCAGGCGATGGATGAAGGAGAGAGAAGCAAAAGTAGATGTGAAGGAGATGTTCAGGATTCTCGGTAAACTGGAAAAGAAAAAGAATCGGTGAAACTTGCGAAGAAAGATATGAATATTTTAAAAAGATATTTTCAAATAAATATATATAATTTTTTGCATAGAAATGTAACTCGATGTAAAAAATTTTAGCTGAAAAGAATAAATGTGAATATTTAAATGGAATGTTGAGAGTTTATTGCATAAGTTACAATAATTACCATATATATTATCAAATATATTAGTTCATACAAAATAATAACAATATTTGTTAGCCGCGGCGTTTCTATAATATAGCTTGCGATCCACGCCACGATGTGATAGTATGATGGCCCGTTGAATAATTATCTCCGCCCTAAAATACATGAATCGATGGCATCTATTTCAATGCACTATTGTATAATATCTATCAAATATTATCATTTAAATTACGCGTTATCTTATTACTATACAATATATATATATAAATTTTTAATTACACTTGAAAACGCTTCCTTTTTCATATTAAATAGAATAAATAGAATAAATAGAATAGATATTAAATAGAAAAAAAGTGGCAATATTTTATCATTATTTTTTTATATAAAAAATTAAAAATACAGTTATATATTCTTACCTGAGTAAGCATTAGCAATTCGTCCTGTGTGTCGACAATTTTAACGGGGAACGGAGAGCCTGGCACCAGGACACCAGCCCAACGAACTTCTACTCTGTAATCCCCAGGTTCCGTCGGATCATATCGGCAAAGAATGATCCGGTCTTTCTGAGTTTCTCGTTGCATTTCCACCCTAAACGCTCCCTTAGGTCCTCGTACTCTCACCGTGAGCTGACCAGCACCGGCGCCTCGCGTATCGCAAATAAATCGCGACTGGAATGTTGCTAATACACCGTGTTCGATTCCTGGTCCGTAAACGCGAACCTGATATTTGATTAAATTAACTTAATTAAAATGTATGAAAATGATTTAATTTTTTTGATGAAACAAAATTAATGTTGATATTTTTATTGGTTGAAAGAGATTATTCTCATTTTAAATTCAGAATTTATATTTAATGATTAGATATTTCTTTTTAAAAATTTTTTACATGCTAACAGTACCTTTGAAGCATCCGGGGCTCCAGAGACACGCAACGTAAACGGAGAACCGGGAACGTGTTCTCCAGCGTATTTAATCGTTAATGCATGCCGACCCGCTTCTTGTGGTTTCACGTTTAACGTGAAAGTGGCATCGCCGTGATCGTACAGCTCGCAATACGCTACTTTATGTGGTCCGACGCAATGTGCCGTTAACTCACCTGTGAGACAAGTCTCCGATGAAAAATAACCGGAAGCAATAAATACTTATCCAAGCATGAAATAGATTTCTACCTGGTCCAGCTCTTCTGGTATCGATAAAACTTCGTATCTCTTGCCCGACAATACCATGTTTCAATCCATCACCAGAACAGATAACCCTAGACGCATCCGCCGCGCTCGTGACATTTATTTGTAATGGGCAGCCCTTTAGTTGTCTTCCATTCCACGACACCGTCATCAAAAGCGGATCCGGTGTTAATGGTATATAACTTGCACGATAAACACTGTCACCTGTGTGCATTTTATATGAAAAGTATTTAACGCTTGCTTTCTAATTCGCATTTTTAAGCTTTCTACGTTGTTTTTTATTTACCTAGATGTTGTAACATGACATTCAGTTCGTTGGTAGGCGAGAACAGTTGTACTTTCGGAGTCCCGTTACCGGCTTGAGAACCATCTATGGTGAAACTGACTTCTTCGCCACACTTAGCCGATGTCAATCCTCGTCCTTTGAGCAATACTCGACTTGAATCCTGTACCGGTGGCTAGACAGGAAATAATTATACGATGATATGTGATTATATGTATAAATGCGCGATTTCGGAATTTAATATAATCGATGAAAAACCTCTAAATCCTGCACAATTGCAAGCTTCGGTGCACCAGGAAACGGTGTGCCGTTGAACAGTATCTCCAGACGGTGTTCGCCACTACTTATTTGTGGCGGAACCAGCTTTAATCTGTTGCTAGACGTCATTTCGAAAGCGAGAGGATGATCGCCGATAGTTCCGTTGATTTCACCGGGTCCAGCCTCCGCGATGTCGAAGCTAATTTTATTCGACGGATGCAGTTTCAATCGTCCAATATCGTCGCATACAGCTGACCAGCCACCTATACACAAGATTATAATACACATATTGTAAAGTGAAGAAGAATAAAAATATTTCGCAATGTATACCATATTATTTTTAATTATTCACCGATAACACGAAGATTCCGCGAGTCTATGATTTTTGGGTGCCACGGGGATCCCGGTAGCTGCTGTCCAGCGCAGACAACTCTCACGTCGAACACTCCGACCTCAGATGGTATATAAGACACATTCCACGTACCCGGATTAGCTCCTGCTTCGATGGTAGCCTTAGAAACACTGTCCGGTCCATCCACCTGCGATACATACGAAGCTACGTTAAGTAAAAAAAAATCCTACATGCATGTCAATGAAGCGATGAAAGCAACTTTCTTATCACACATGCAAATACCTGAACTGCTGGCGGACTTCTCGTACCGGTGACAATAAAATGCGCCGGTTTACCCACGTGACCGCTCAGCAATCCTTCTCCTTTCGCGCGAGCTTGTCCAGCCGCATCGACAGTGCATATCACTGGACTTCCAGGTACGGAGCATCCGCCTATTGCCACATAAGAGAATTAAAAATATGACAGATGTGAAATTCTTTTTCGATATAAAGAATAAAAGAACTTGTCTTTTCTCTTTATGTCTAAAGATTGTTACCATAAGTGACGTTGATCATATAAGTGCCAGGCACACTAGGCGAAAACTCGATCATCTCGGCACCATCGTTGAGCGGAGTGACTTGCAGCGGAATCTCTTGACCTGATGGACTCGTCGCCGTCACGTCCAAATCAGCCATGCCGGCGTCGACTTTCATCACTGTAATAACAATACACTCCGAATTGCATAGGTGATAATTTCCGTGACTTTTCTTCTTCGATAACGCAGTTCTCAAAAGTATATCGCAACTATTCACTCGAGCGACGCGTGAAGTGAGACTATTTGAAAGTAGTCTAAGTATTTGAGTTGCAATTACATTCTAAGTGCGGCCTTGAAGCTCGTCGCAGTTATGGTGCACTAGAAAAGACTCGTTACTTTCTCCCGCTTATGCTTAGTATGTCAGCATATTTATAAACACGGGAAGTATTTACGCTTACTCGAATAAACACACCACTACACGTCTCGACACGTTTCGCCAAACGATTATTTAGCATTTAACACGATTCTTTAATTAGCTCTAATAACTTGATTTCATCAATCGTATCGTTTGTATCTAGATTTCGTCCATACTTTCTTCGCGCATGAAAACGATTTCATTCGCACAACAAATGAGGAAAATTGTTGCAAATAAATTGCGCATGAAATAATATTTATATAAAAAAAAATTTTAACTCGAAATTATTATAGTTGCTTAAAATTTCTTTGATGTTAGTTCTATGTATATTTAATATATTTTTCTTCAACATTGTATTATTTTGCGCAAAAATATTATTCATGTTACACGATATAATTATTACTTATAATTATTACTTACGTTTAAATGCAATGTGATCGTGAACTGAAATCGTCATAGGTCCTAATTCTTGAAGTTTCACCTTAGCAGCATCGAAAGCCTGGCAAAAGAATGGTGAGCCCAAAACTGGTTTTGCACCGTGAAGCACGTCGATTTTGTATGTGCCTGGATAAAAAGAAAATTTAATAGTTTCGAAAAGTATTTTATCGCGTAACAACAAAATCTTTTTTAATCTTACCGACGCTATTCGTTGTAAATTCGGCGAGTAGATTGCCATCGCGATGCTGATAACAGCGTACGGGTACAGCGTTACCCTGCGGACCACTGATAACGACGTCAAACTCCTTCCCAGGACGTCCGAGAGTTTCGATAGTGAAGGATGTTACTTTCCCGACACATGATTGATACAAACCCAAACCTGTCGCCGTCACTTCTCGTCCTCCAGTAGGACCACGTACCGTGACATCCAATGGACTACCTGTGAATGTTATAAAAATAAATTCAGATATATCAAAATATTTTCTAATATATGTATTAATTATAAGTATAATAAAATCTTCGAAAATATACATATATAAATAAAATTTTCGAAAACATTAACAACACTTTAATACAATGAATAACGAAAATCGATAAGTACCAGGAATATGGACTTCATTGTATTTTATATGAACTTTGTGAGGCGCGGCGCGTGTCGGATGGAATATGATCTCGTAAACACCGCTCTCTCCTTCTCTTATTAAACTGTCAACATCCGCACCGCCCGCGCGTACATTGACAGATAATTTTCCAGGACCAGCTTCTTTCGATGCGATAACTATATAAGAAAGAAACAAAATATATTAAATATATTTATGACATTTCCTATTTCTTATCTTTTGCATAAATCAATATATTTAATTTAGTACCCTAAACATTATAATTAAAGCTTATATATATTCGAATAATTACCTAAAATAGTCCCGGGTCGATGACAAACCACGTCTGCTATTTCTTTGATAGAAACTTTGCTGGGATCAAAAGCTTGAAGCGTTTGCGAACTGACCATCTTGTGCCCGTCATTGAATATTATACTATATGTTCCCACCTGTCGAGTTCTAACTTCTACGCGATATAAACTGGATGATAATTTTGTTAAAGTGCAAGGAATGATTATTCCGTCCGGACCTGAATCGAAAGAATAGAGAAGCATTGTAGAGAAAAATAAATTGTATCTGATAATCTTACCAATATTTAGATAAATAATTTACCGGTAACTTCCGCTGCTACAGGACCATTCAAGTCGGACATATCCAGATCTATATAAGCCGTATTACCGACTCGGATCATCGATGGACCGTGTAACATGCTGCTAACCACGGGACATTTAAATGGACTCCCTAATGTAAATGTATCGTAATTGTAAATACCTATTATTTTTCCAAGTTCGAAAAGCGATCAATGAAATTGTTGGCGTACAAACCTGGCACGTTGTCATCATTGAAACTGATATTAACATAGTGTGCACTTGTTGTCTGTGGCACGAATGTAACATCATACAGTCCGCGTGCGCAGGCCACTACTTCGGCTTTAACGGTGTTATTCTCCGTGCTCACAACCAGCTCTAGCGTTCCCTCACCAGCTTCCGCGGCATCGACGGTAAATGTAGTTGCCTGGCCCAGTAAAGCTTCCGTGAGACCAGACACGTGCACCTACAAACATTATAACATCCAACGTTACATCCATTAAGAGCATCTATGTTTTAATTTCACGTGATTGGCAACTTACTTTAGTCACATCATAAATATTGCAAGCGAATGGAGAGCCTTTAATCGATTCACCATCTACCAAGACGCTGATATTGTGTCTGCCGACTTCCGTGGGCACGAAGCTCACATTATACTTGCCATCAATAGGCTCAATAGTGATAGGTAAAGCGATGCCTGATGGTGGCGTTGCAATAACGTCGCAATTCGTAGATGGAGTCTGCGGATCTACAGTGAAGGATATTAGTCGCTTCACCGCACCCATCTTTAGATTATGACCAGAAATTGCTGCTTGACCGGCACCTACTACTTTACAGCTAAAGGGCGAACCTAAGAATTTAGAAGAAACATTATATAAATAATTGAAAGTGAAATCATGCGAGTAGATAGATTCTTTTCATACCTGGAACTGGCTCTCCATTGAAACGGACACTGAGACTATGTACAGCAGCTTCTTGTGGTTTGAAATTGACCCTAAACTTTGCATTACCTTCGCTTTGCACGTAATTCGGAACATTCTTGCCATTTACTGCTACTATAATTTCCAAATTTCCAGCTCCAGCTTGACTGGCGTTGACTAGAATAAATAAAAAAAAATGTTAAATATTTTGTGTAATAATTCTTCATACGCTGCTATGAAAGAAATAATCTTACTGCTGAAGAACACTGGTTTGCCGACGACTCCGCTATTTATATCTGTCACTTTAACTTTATCAGCGTTATAAGCCTTGACAAGAAACGGGCTGCCTTCCACGTGCGATCCACTGAGCTTCACTTCGACGCTATGATCGCCTGTATTATAGATATGATTTAAAACAATAATGATTTTATAATTATATGATATAATTATATGATTTTGTAATTATTTTTTCCCACTTAAATTAAGTATACATACCAACATCCTTTGGAGTAAATCCAGCGGTGTAGACGCCGTGACTGTTCTGTTTGATGTGTACAGGTAAACTTTCTCTAGTAGGTGAGAGCACTTCGACGATGGGCGTACCGAGAGATGCGTCGGCTTCTATTGTAAAGGTCGCGACACGGTTCACAGATACTTTCTCAAGTCCCTCGGTTATTAATACTTTTGCCGTATCGCTGACCTAAATAGTTTTAATAAATCTTTTATACTAGTATTTTGTTTTGCGTTATTTAACGCATAATAGTTATCAGAGTAATTTTAATTTTAAATAACGGAACTTTTTTATATATTTAAATTATTGTGTGAATTCATACAATTCGAAAAATAAGGTACCTGACAACTAAACGGACTACCAGGTACATCCTCCCCATTAAATCGCAAATCCACTGTGTGCACGATCGGTTCTCGAGGTGTGAATGAGATCGCATATGTATGAGGACCTTGCGCCTGAGCTGACGTCGGTACTCGTCCGCCGTTGACAGTGACCTCCAGATTACCCGGTCCTGCTTGACTGGTCTCGACTGTGGATGAGAAAAGTGGATGAGAAGTTTATCTCAAGTATAAACTTGCGTTTAAAATTATAATAATAAAAATACGTACCCAGAAAAGTTACGGGCAATCCGATGACACCACGCTTAGCGTCTTTCACCTTTATCGCAGCAACATCGTACACCTTACAGCTGAACGGACTGCCGGCCACCGGGATATTCCGGTAATTCACCGATATTCGGTGCTCGCCAACGACTCTCGGTGTAAACGCCACGCTGCATGTCGTGTCTTTGTTGTCGGTGACCTGAGCAGGTACGGCCTGTCCATTGGGCCCTATCAAGTCCGGCGGGTTAGTCGTTTAATATCATTAGATAGCCATCTACTCGGGGTGGACACCAGAACGGCCAACTCACGAAGAGGTTCGCATATATGTTCAATTGGCATTGTTATAAACTTGTATTAAGCAACATTAAAGAAAGCAGACTATGCATCAGAAATTTATAACTATGATAAATAATTGTTAACTGCGACTAATAGGAGAAAGCCATGTATCTCGTCTGTACATACGTTATTTCTAATTCGCTTCAGCTTGAACGCACGCAGAACTAATGCAAGATTATCTTCTAATTCATTTAGCATGCTTGGCTGAGCAAAGCAACCAGCAGAACGAAGATATATTAAGAAATAATTATTATAAATACTCAATGTTATCACGTCAAAAACAAAAAAACCTTATAATAACTTTTTTCATATAAAACGTTGATATAAATGTGTATATTAGAGTTAAAATATATTGGTACACTTGTTAAGAGACACTGTGCGTTTAAAAATCTCAGTTTAGAAACTCATATCATTGCATTGAAAGATTTAACAATTATGCACAACTTAAAATAAACATATAGCACCATAAAGATGGCTTAACGTAAGTCAAGTACATTTCGCGAACACACAAAATATAAGTGGAAATGTGATTACGAAATGTTAGATGACTTCGTAGCCTCCCCCACTACTGGAACCCACAAATTAAGCATTTGTAATACTTCCAAGTGGTAACAACAGATATAAGAAGTTATACGAGTAGAGAAGAATGATTTAGTCTACTCTTATACAAGATTGTCAAAAGATTAAGTTAAGAACCCACCACCATGTGTGTGTGTGTTTCACATTATATATCCATAAATTAAGATAAGAGCGAGATTAGTTTTTGAGAAGTCTAGTAATGTCGTAGTCTGAAAGTTGGCCGACCTGCAACAGAGAGAGAGAAAATTGCTCTCAAGCTAATAGATTAATGAGACACAGATGAACACAATTCTATACAATTACGTCGACATTCCATGACGTTAAGAACAATAGGAGAAATCCCTCCGGTATTAAAAACATGGTGAATCAACACATGGATGCTTCTGTGCATTTTTGTCACAATATACGTGCTAACAATTAAATCACTTTGCGAGCGATGAACTCGTGCGAATCGTGCACAACGATATTTACCTTCAACATTAACTTCTAAGTCTTCCAAGCTACCGGCAACATTACTGACAGTTAGATAGCTTTGCCGTCCCAATCCAGCGCTGCTCAGTGCCTGCCCACTTACGGTTACGTGGCTGTCGCCACCCACACGCATTATTATAGGGCAACCAGGCACAGTTTTCTTATTGAATGCTATATTGATAATATGTTCGGACGCCTCAAATGGTACAAAACTAACGGAGAACCGCGCATTTCCTTGTGGCGTTACTTGCGTTGGTATATTTTGACCACGAGCTGATATTGTAATCTCCAGATTTCCTTCACCAGCTTGACTCGCATCGACTGTCGACAAAAAGATTTCGCATCAAGTAGATTCTCAACATCAATATGCAAAATGTTAAGAGGATATTCTAATATTTATTTAACTGCTAACTTAATGCTAGTATGTACCAGTAAAGTGGGTTGGTTGGCCAACGCTGCCTCTAGCTACAGGTCCAATTAGCACATTATCCGCGTTGAACGCTTTGGCCAAAAACGGCGTGCCATTAACGGGATAACCGTTGTATTCTACGCTAATTGAATGTACACCCACGTCTCTTGGTATAAATTCAGCGGTGAAACCATTACTTATGTCACCAGTAACTTTAACTGGCAATTCGCTATTTGGTCCTGAAAGAAGTTTTTTCTTTTGAAAAATCCATGGAATTTGAAACTATTAGACAATTATTCAATATATATATATATATATATATATATATATATATATATATATATATATAGAGAGAGAGAGAGAGAGAGAGACAGAAAAAGAAAGCTTTATTAATATAAATTCATAAATGTATGCTTTTTTAATATATCCAAAAAATTTGAAATATATTGCACATTTAAGAACTTATATAGATTTCAGTATCTGTCAGTTTTGTTTATAATAATAAATATTTAATGCATCACTAACCCCTTACGGAAACCGCTAATTCTGCACTGCCACTTCCATCGACTCCCATGTGGAAACTAGCAGGATGATTGACTGGAATTAGTTCTAAATGATTCATACTCAGTGTGACTCTGCTTGTGTCAGATACGTTGCAGATGAAGGGACATCCACGTACTGCTTCTCCGTTAAACTTTATATCGATATAATGAGGCTTAGCAATTTCAGGAGTAAAAGATACGAGACAACGACCACCACCCACTACTTGAACATGATTGGGCACTTCTCCTTCGTTTATGGAGATTTCTAGTTGGCCTTCTCCTGCAGCGCTGGCATCCACTATAAAAATTAGAAATTTCAGACACATTCATGGATGCACAAGATGTACAATAAGATCAACAATTTACCTCTGAATTGACAGGCATGGCCAACTACAGCGCTAGGTACGTCAGTAACTTGGATCAGACTACTATTGTACACCTTGGCGACGAGCGGTCCTGCCGGTAGCTTCTGTCCCGCGATGCTCACTTCCACGAGGTGGCTGCCTACTTCAGTTGGCGTAAACTCGACGCGAAATTCGCCGGAGCGTCCTGGCTCCTCGTCAATTCTCGCGGAAATGTGTCTCTTCGAGGGTGCTGCAATTCATCGAATAAGTACATCGAGTACAATTGTAGATTGCCTCAAAGTCAATTAACAAATTAACACTCACTTATGATCTTGACGTCAATCTCGCTGCTGCTGAAGCCTAACGCGGACAGCTCAAAGATAGCGGGACTACCAGCAGGAACCAGCCTGATTGAATCACCGATCACTGACATCTTCGGTGCAGGCATGATGCCAACTCGCCAAGGTGATCCTGATAATTTGCAATTAAAATAATAAATTTTCAATAGGTCCGATGCAAAAAACACTTCACTCTTATAAGTAACCATCTCAAAAATGCCATCTCCATTAATTTATAGATAATTAATCACAATATTATAGATAATTAATCACAATTACTATTCCACTTTTATATTATCCCGCCAAATAATTTTGTTTTGAAATATAGGGACTTGCAACAATTTTTCTCTATAAAAATATCGACCTGTCATTCGATTTAAAGAGCGACACTTCGGATGGTTTCGCGCTTCCCACACATTATTTTCGTGCGTAAACAACGTCCTTTCGCCAACACCGTTACTCAAGCTTCTCCGATTGTAATAATAGTACACTTTTGCGAATGACTGATACAGGTAATCATTTCAAATTGAATTCCAAATCTCCGAAAGTGCAACGTAACTCGCAATTCGTCCTCTAACCTCCTGCCACGCGCATGACGTACGCGCTGTCAAACCAGCTCCTTTCTGTTTTTTCCACGTACGTCTAATTAACTTTGTTCCAGAGTAAGAGTATCGTCGAAACAAGTATGAAACTGCATCGAAACCGGTATAGCCTCCGGACAGTCCAATCTTCGAAATTACATCGCCAAAAGACGCAAAAAAAAAACACGAGCCTTACGTGATGATTCCACTGTCGCGCATGACATCAAGGGAACGACGAACTTGTCGGAATGTTTGAATTCCGACAAGTAACAGCGAGAGAGATATCTTAAGTGAGTCGTCAATTACCTCGGCGAGTCGCGATGCGGGTGGAAACCTGGAAAGACGCTGGAAGAACCTAGATTATAAAGAAAGGGGGAGAGAGAGGGGAAGGGGGCAGAGCGCGGCTTGTGGATCCAGATTAATCTCGCGATCCAACGAAGACGCACGCGATAAGAACGACAGATGACGGATGACGCGCATCGATCCTGCGTCGCCAGGATCCGCCACGAGGAGTGCGAGGTGAGGGGACGACCTCACTCTCGAGAATGCGCGAGATCGGCTCGCACGATGATCGCGACGTCGCCAGCTTCCCGCAGCTGCATCACGCCGGAACGGACGTGGACAGAAGAGAATTCTCCACGGGAGGTCGGCTAGACGAATCCAGCTGAGGCGCGCTCGAAGAAACACGCGGCACTCGCGGAAACGAGCGGAAAAACGAGCCGAACGCAGGATCTTGCGCGATCCACGACGCGACGCGACGCAACGCGGCGGACTCGACCGAGTTGAACGACGGACGGGACGACGAGCGTGTGTGCCCCAGCCCGTGCCACGGCCCACCGCCACTCGGGCCCGGAACCAGGGCCGTATACCCTCATGGCGCGCGAACAGACCGGCGCTCCCGTCACCGAAGACGGTTCTGCGATTACGCTTGACCTGTATCCCTCGCACATGTTCGGCGATGGAGGTATGTGACGCAATATTATATCTCCATTTAATTTATTTCTTTATGTATTTAACAAAAATTTATATTTTTAATTTATTTCTGTCAAAAACGTCAACTTCAGAACATCTAAATCCATGTCTTTTTTCCGATTTTAGAGATAAGATTTCTCAAAGAATCTACACAATGGAAATGAGAAGAGAGACACTGTTCTGGATTTCTCCTAATTCGAGTTATAGAGATCTTCCGAGAGTCTAATTCTTTCGACTACATCCGGGATATAACTACTGCCACGAGCGTGTCACTTTGAAGTGACTTGTAAAGGTACACAATATAAGTTCTCAAGCATACATAGCGCAAATAAGTCCCATTTTATTTATATTTATTGTATACGATTCTACTCTCGTGCCGACATTGAACGAGATTCTTAGGCCGATTATATGTTCCAGATTTTTTTACCTGCAAGGGTCAATGATCGATCGATCTCGAATATCTTTACTTTCTCCGCCTGCGATCCGCCTGCGTTGCTCAATCACGTTTTTCCACGTTATTAGCATACTTTTTATAAAACATGAAATTCGCGTGTACGTTCGAAAGTCTATGGACACGCGCGACACGATCTCCATATTCATCATTACAGTCTGTTTGTGATCGCAAGGCGAATGAGGAGGCAGAGGGGGGCCTTAACCGCAGGGCCTCGGGAGGACAGGATACATCCAACTGTTCCCATCCGTTTCTTATTCACCCGATCGACTGCAGTCTGTACGATCTCTCTCGCGGATACCTGATCCGCGTTATTTCGATACCTTCAGCTTGGGATCACAAATAGAAAATTAAGCGTTTCTCACGCGCGGGTCTCACGAGTGAAAAGAGATAAGCGTCTCTTTCTTTCAAAAGCCTGTCATTAATTTCCAATCCTCCGCGACAATCGGTCAATCATATAAGCGGCAATGTTTTTGATCTTTCCGAATTTTGATTAATGAGTCGACCTTATCTATGATAGCTGTTTCGCAGAGAACCGGTGTGTAACGGCAAATAACGGCTACTGCTTGTATTTGCGCTACTTGTATAAATACATCTGACACTAGCATAATACAATTTGCAGGAAGAGTCTAGGACATGCGTGACCCATTCGCGAGATGTGATTACATATATAAATTCCTTGACATCTACAGGCTACCGTTCATAGGCAGATCTTATGTAACGCGACATATTAATAACATGCAGCCTGCATGTTTGTCACAATTTCTGCTCCTTAGGAGCGTCATGCAATTGCATTTGTACAAGAAAAGCGCTGTCCTTTCAGACGCAAATCGCAGCTGGCGATCATTAAATACGTTGCAATAATAGAGATCGGTTGTTAATAAATTAGTCGTCGGTGGCTCTCGATTGATGTAATAATTCATTTCAGTTTGAGAGCACGAGAGTCGCCTGAATGTTTCTACCAGCTGCGGTCTCACTCGCGAAAAACAGCTGGCGGTCACAAAGAACAAGAGTTGCAACAATAATCTAGTCGTAGAGTCTTATTAATAAATGCTTGCTTAACTTTATATGGAAAAAGTTTATCATGCGAATTTCACGTTGATTTTTAATTTAAGGTGACCTGCTTTCCGTCCAAAGCATCGTTTCAGTCAAGACTTCGATTATGACATTGGGAGACAATGTATTGATGAGACAATATTTTTTTTTGCTGAATCGCCGAAGCGTACGCTACATTCTTGACGGAGAAGTTACGTCGAAGCGACCGTGCACGGTGAATCGCTGCTGCATTCCCAGACATAACGGGTCGTCCAGCACGCAACCAGTAGATCCAAAATTGTCGGAAACTCCCCGGCCTCACATGTTACACCGAAAGTTCCAAGGTCACACAGATGAATAAATACGATTACTCGCGAATATTAATTAACTAATTCTTGCTGTCGAAATGAAGTCAGTTAACGGTAGAGTGAACTGATTAAGAAAATACGGATTTGTCGAAGAACAGTTTTAGATAACACCTCGAAGTAGTTGCGCATTAAGTGGGATAAAAATGCGAAAGACGTTTATGAGGTAATTTAATATGTTAATCACTTGTGGAATGACAAGATATAATACTTTGGAAAGATTAAATTCTTCATACATATGAACAGATATGGCTGATATTTCTCGATGCGCAGTTGAGTCACAGACGGGTAATTGCAGTTGTAGTCTTGATCATTGATTCTAATCATATTAGCTCCGTCTTTATATAATAGATATACAGAATGTCTAAACCGGCAATATAAATTTAATTTCGAGAAAGATCCATAACTTTAAAAATCTAAAAAATTTAATACATAAAGATTTTATTGGCCGATTGAAAACTATTAAATGTACAATAATTTTTAAACATGAAATCGGTGATTATGATATATCGATTCGAGAGTTTAAAAAATTTTAAAATTGCTTATGAAAATCTAAATTAAAGTTATATTATAAAAGAAGATGCGAATTGAATATTTCATAATACAATACTGTTTGTTCGAGACATCCTGTATATTTGGAGCGAGCAATAAAATCTAATTAATCTCGAGTTTCATTCTATGCCGCATAATCGATCGATTGCCATTATTGTTATTAAAACGATCGCAGCTGAAGAACCGATGACATTGCAAGCGATTACGCATTTATGTCAGCTGATTCGATTGTTGAAATCGCTGACAATCGCGGTCGTAGAAATCTCAGATATCGCTTCGCCTTTTTCCCTCGATTCTTCACGTTAATCCGAAAACATTTTTTGCGATGAGGATTATATTCCACGTGAATAAAATCAAAAGGATTTCGAAAAAAACAAAACCAACATTTATAGATTTATTTAGATTAACCTTGTATCGATGTATTTTTTTTAAATATTAAATTCTTAAATTCTGAATCCTTGAGTGACGAGATCCTTGAGCAAGAATGACGCAGAAAAATTCGTCTTGGAATAAATCCACATCGCGATCATTCGAGCGAGACAACTGCACTCGTTTGCGCGGACGACGTTAATTACAAGCGAGATTATGTTTTAAAATCGCGGCTCATTATCAAAGTGCTTGAGTTAAGATGAAAATCTATGGAGCGTGTCATCGGGTGAGAAATTGCACTTGTCCAATTTTAGTTTATCTCTTTAATTCAGTTTGAAATAAATTCACGTTTCACCGAGTCGACTGTTGTGTTTTCGAGGTTTATTAACTTATTACGTTTCGTTTTCTTTTTAGAGATATTTGAGCGAACTTATTATCTTTTTTACATTACATTGAGAAAGAATCACAGTTATTTTTTAAGCGATATTAAAGCGGGCAAAAGCTAATGTGCCGCTTAATTATCTCTCTCGAACTAATTGACTTCTTAATGAAAAGTCGTAAAATTAACGGTGTCAAGTGTGCATCGCATCGTATCGACACGCGATCTCTTGGGTTTCTATAATTGCAACCGTGCGTGCGATTTTCTCTCATCGGTTGTCACGATCAAATAGAAGCCCTGCTTCAAGATATTGTACATTGCTTTTATTAAACTCGTCTCACTCTGTGCCATCGATTCCATCGTACCTGCACTTATCGCGATTACGTAAAGCGAAAAAAATTAACGATCTTGCTTTTAATAATCACAGCAGTTATGTAAGGCAAATCGGTTTGGGAATTTAAGTGCGTATCGCAACTTGAAGGAATTCGCTCCACATACGTTGCAAGACCTAATTAATATTAAAATCGCATAAAGAACATGTGTCTTTTACATTCGCGTAAATTTTTATTTTTCTGTCATCCCACTTTAGAGATTGAAGATAATGTCTCTCGTGAGATTACATTCGAAATTTTTAATTGATCGAGACCTAGCGTGTTTTACCTGTATTCAAATAGGTGCGTTGCATGACTTTACAAAGGTAATCGGCCGGCAAGCGAGACGCGGGGAAGACTTTCGGAAAAAGTAACTTGTGAGATAAAGTTATACGAGACCGGGGGAGATCGGCGATAACTTTCTTGGCACGGTACAAGCGCATAAGAACGCATTCCACGTGGTTCGATCGGCTGCACCTTTATGGGGTGTCGCGCGGGGAAACAACCACGTTCGTTTCTTTCCTCTTCCGATCGATGATAACGGTCCGCGTGTTCGCTTCGCTGTATGATTACGCGAAAGGAAGCAGAACCGAGTATAAAATCCCGTGGAATGCAATCGATGTGTAACGACGATGGCAAAGAGGGGATCAATATTTCGTTGCTGTAAATTTATCTTCGTATTATCGCGAATTTTTCATGCTAAATTTAATTTATATATTCGTGTTTCTCGCCATTATATGTTATTTTTTTAAAATAATGTTCAAGATAATTTTCAAGAAACGAATCATGACTCACGAAGGGCTAATATAGAAATTATGCCGAGACTCTAGGTGTTGCACAAGGTGCTATGACCGTGCTGAATTGTGTTTATATTCATATAGGTAGATAGGTAGGTAGAGCGGCTTACGTATCCTCATTCGTAACCAAATACGTCTGTACGCCGACATGAGTTTCGTAGCCACACCTACGATCTACACGATATTCACTTATATTTCATGCGCAATTTTCATAGCGGATGCAAATAAAATATCGATCCAAGGAATGCATTGAAGCGCATTGACAATGAGTTCAATTACGCAATAATATCCGATATATTCTCCCGTAAATTGCAACCACGCGTAATTTTTAAAACAATGCGATGAAAATTAATTAAAATTATTGTTAATTCTATTTTTAATTTTGTATCCTATTTTAATCTCTCTCTATAAAAGTCCACTTTAATTATTTTAACTTTTTTCGATACTTGTACAAATATATACGTGTTTTCTTGTATGTATATATAAGAGATTATCAGATAAGATTCAGAGATTATCAGATAAGCAACATTATGCAAGAAATAATGTTTGTTAATATTATATTGTAAAATATACATGAGTCGAGAAGTATCGAAAAATGTGGAAGAGAAAAGAGTTCGGTTTTTTTTCTCCCGTCTGTAATGCGAGAGGGTAGAGATAATAATGTGGTTACCGAGTATAATGCTACTTCCCTGCGTGAACAACACGCAGTCACGATTATAGAGAGTGCACTGTACACGGTATCCAAATAATATTATTCGTGGACATAGTAGCGTAGCAGAGAGTTATAGGTATCCTCTAGTCTTTCTATGGACAACAATTTCACTTTCTCAAAGCGTTCTTTCTTTTTTCGAAGCTTTATCCTTTAATAATAAGATAGATGAATAAATATAATTATCAAATATAAATAGTCGCGAAGTTAAATCACGCAAATTTTAATTTTAAATTTTATGATCCCGGAATATTAAATTTAAAAAAATTATATATGAAATATTTATTACTCATTTTATGTTTTTAGCGAGTCATTTTACGAACTTGGATGTCTCTACTATTTTATGATCAAGTCATATAATAATGTGACTTAAGCGGCCCTGAGAGAGACGAACGTCTTGTCATTCGGTATTGTGGATCACGACCTCGCGATGGTGGGGTGGCGGCGGAAAAATTCAGGAAGCCGAAGAAAACGATGACGTCGCATATGGGTCAGTGGGACGTCACGTGAATGCGTGAAATCGCAAGTCAACGACCTGCTCGATGACCCGCTGACTTAGAGACACGCTTGCTTCGCATGCCTGGGACGCGGATGAACTCGATCACCCTGTGTACATTCTTGGATGGCTTCCTTCTCGTCTGAAGGAAAAGTACGCAAAGCACGAAAAGTAGCATAGAACGCTCAGAGGCACTTATTACGGAAGAGTACGATAATTATATGCATCCTCACGAACGAAGAATTTCATGGCGAGAGGAAAGAAAACACGCTTCATAATAACATTAAAATTCTAAAATCGACTCGAACGGAAATGGCAATCTTTCGTGACGTCTTTTTTTTCGAAATTTTCAGTCTTTTCGATTAAAGTAAGATAGTCCGTGAAAAAAATTGTTTCCTTTTCGAAGGACCACGTTGTATATACCTATAATAGGATTACTTCAGCATACGTGTATTGAGCAAGATAAAAGGCGGAGATTTTGCAAGCTGTCGTTTGCAGATATTGCAGAAGCTGTTTTTAAAAGTTACCACGAACCATGAAGCAGACGCAAAGAAGAATATCGGAAGTCGCTTACGACACATTTCCTCGATCGCGCGCGATAGTCAATGGAAATCGAGCCGCGGTGTAGTCTAACAGTATTAAAGGTCATCAGAAAAATAACGCTTCGTAGCGTAACGTAGTGAATGATTTCCATGATAAGATCACGCTCGTACCTACATTGTGAATTGTGCTCGCGCGCGCGTGAGAAAAAAGTATGTATATTTTATTTATGATTGATGTGGCGAAGCATGACAGAACGCAAGGCGAATCCAATGCCAATGTGGACTATTTAACTATATGTGTAATACTTTTTTCTGAATATAAGCTAATACTTAAAAATTTAATAACCCATGTATGTCTTTTCTGTAAATTTGAATTAAGAAAAATTATGATTGGACACGTTATAATTAAGAGAGAATAAATCGAATGATTTAATGTAGATTAATTGATAACGCTACTCTTGTATATGCAAAGTCAAGGGAACAATTAAGTGTCGAAAAATCTTAATATCATGTACATAAGATTGTGAAAAAACCGAATTATTTATATTAAAAAACATTTACAAGTGCATATAACAAGTAAAAAAGTTTATTAAAAATATATTAAAAAATTTTTGAAAACAGATACGAATTGTATCTTTCAATAAAATTTTACTCGCAAATTTATTAAAAGTATTAACGGATAATTTTATTTTTATTTTTAAACTTTTATTTATAATCTAAAATTTACTTATTAAACTGTAAGCTTGGTATTGCATTCCTTGCCTTGTATAAAAATATTTATAAATCGAGTTATTTTAAAATCAACTTCGATTTACTTCGATCAAATGGCAATTATGTATATCGATGCATTAATTCTGATTTGTGCGTATATCTTTGAATCGTTTCGAGGCTTAGATCATCATTCGCGCGACGTACTTTTAAACAACATTTCAACGTTGAATGCGCATTCCAGCTTCTTTAATGGTGACGGCAAAGACTATCACGCATTCCAGGAGTTATGTGTGCTCGTGCACGTGCATGCACGCGTGCGTGCGCGTACGTGATAGGAATATATATATGTATATATATTCTAGCGAAGAGAGAAGCGCCGAAGGCCGCCATACATAGGAATTTGACGAAAGAAAGGAGCGCTAAAAACCACACCGTGAAAATTAAGATATTCGCGGCGAGCAAAGGTAGCAAACGCAAATGCTAGCGCGGAGCATTACGCGAGTGAAACGGGATAAATGTCCGAGTTCTAACGGTGTTCCAACTGTAGAATGAGGTAGAAACTTCGTTGGGTTAATGCTCGAAATCCAGAATATAATCGCGCATTTTGATTTTTTTATTAGTTTATGATTTTTATTATTTTCCTAAATGACTAATGCAAGGAAATGATTACCAACTATTCATTTTGTCGGTAAAAAAATAAAATCATTTGACGACTCGTGAATAAATTTGGATTTTTCAGAGATAAAAGCATGTTTAAGAGTTTTACTTATTTTTATGAAGATTTTAGACTATATTAGTATCGCAAAAAGTTACTTACCAGGGATGACTTCCCCGTTGAACGTCATCTCGACCAAATGCGTAACCGCTTCATGTGGCACAAACGATGCCAGGAAACGCTGACTACCTAGCGCTCTCACGAAACTCGTAACGTGTCCTCCGTTCACGAGGATCTCCAAGTTTCCCGAGCCGGCTCTCGATCCGTCAACTGATAAAACGTCCTTCATTATCGAGTGTACTTAGAGTTTCACGATGCATACAGTCAGATACGTACTTTCAAATTCTACCGGTTGGTTCACCACTCCATTCGGGATGTTTCCAACTTGTATAGCTCGAGCGTTATACGCTTGCGATCTAAAATTTACGTAAATATCTCATATTATTTAAGTTTTCTCATTTCAATCTCTCAATAAATATTTAGAAAAAATGTTAGAAAAAGAAGAAGCTCAATTTTTAATTTTAGATATTTCAAACTCAATATTCAATTTCGAACTCATATATACATATATGTATTTCGAAATTATATCAAAGTTTCTAGAAAACATTTTTATCCTATAGCAAAGACGAGAAGTAATATAAAAACATTGTTTTTGTCATTCTACGAACCTGAAGGGCGAGCCATTGATGTGCTGGCCGTTTACCAAGACTTGGATGGTATGTTCACCGACCTCCTCGGCGGTGATAGTGTATATCAAGCCACGCAATTTTGATCTCTGTACCAGTACGGTCTTGCCGGTGGGACCTACGGAAAGTATGAAGCCGGACATCATTGTGTATTCGCGACACGCATCATTAACGTCGAAAGTCGCGTCGAGATTTACCGGTAACGGTGACGGACACCTTATTAGGATCCACATCGGAGTTGACGCTGAAAGTGGTCGGCCGATGTACTGGCAGCGTTTCCAGCGCGCTTCCGGTGGCGATGATCGAACTCATCGTTTTGCCAGGTGATGCGGATACGTAAACGGAACCGCCGTTATTCAAGTATCTATCGTGCGTCGCGGTACCATCCGTCACATCCACGCTCTTGCCATAGTAGTTGTTGTTCTTGTTCTTCAGGATGCCGTGATGACGAGTGGCTGTCTGATTAGCATCGTATTTTTGTCCAGCGCCATAATCGGGACTTGAAGATTTCTGCACGGACGAATAACTAGTCATTGCGGAGTGCGATGATACATTCTTTGTGGTGTAACTTTGCGCGTTCTTGTAATTGTTGTTCAGAAAATTGTTGTTCGGGCTGTTATCCCGATTTTCCGCGGTCGGCGAATTGTTGGTCAGATTCGCCAGGGATTCCAAACTGCCGTATGATAGTAGCGATTTCGTCTTAGCAATCGCGTCCCAGGAATCGCGTCTGGAAGTGCTACCTACCATTGAAGATACCCGTACATTGCTGCTGGTATCCACGACGCCATTATCTGTGGATTCACGCTTATTGAACGATGCATCCTTGTCACTGATCCTTGGACTGAAACTGCGGTTTATAGGACTTTGAACGGGACTCGTGACGCTGTGATACGGACTCGAGCGCGGTGGCGAGTGCGATCTCTTCAGGGATCCCGAACTGTAAATATCTTTCGACTCTTTGATAACATGCCCGATTGGACTTGCATCTGGTGATCGTGATCTATTCAGTGTACTAGACGAATAAATATCCTTAGACTCTTTGATGAAAGTAGGACTCTGCAGATTCGGTGATCTATGGTTATACGTGCTGTTGCTATAAATATCTTTCGTCTCCTTCAGCACTGACGGACTGTGCACACTCCTTTGTACAGGACTGTGATTTAGAGAGCTGGTGTTGTGGTAAGTCGAGGTGGTAGAATTCTCGGTGATATAATTGCTCGACATCTTGTAAGTCGGACTGGCTTGATGGATTGGCGAATAACCACGTTGCGTTGGACTGATGGATTTATATACAGTGGACGTATATAATTTCTGAGTCGGACTGGTTCGTTCCGTTGCGGAAATATTTAGCCCGTTCATTCGTCGTTCCAGGGAGGATACTTTTGATCGCTCTAGGCTGGACGTAGAGTCCTTCGACCTTCGCGAGCCCTTCTGTGTACCTACTCGTATAGAGAACGGCGAACCGCGCACATCTGAGCCGTTAAAGTACATGTACACCCGGTACTTGCCAGCATCGCCGGGGACAAAGGACACCCGGTACTGCATGTGTCCAAAATCCTCTATCCTATAAGATACCGACTGCTTATCGTGGACAATATCGATGATTACATCACCGAGGCCGCCGGTTCCTCGCGCATCGACGATGAAGGAGAATGGTTGTCCGGGCATGGCACCATCGGTATCTAAGAGCTGAATGCGATTATTGTTAAATTATGTTTACAACGTAAAATAACAATATTACATTAATCTAATATATATGAGAAATAAGAATAATATATATGAGAAATAAGAATTAATAAAGTATATCAATTATATAAAATAGAAATTATAAAGAACTGTATATATGCGTATAAATATATAAGTATATTTATGATATATTCATTAAACAAATTTAAATTTATATACTCAAGATGTATTGAGAAAAATTTTTAGAGAACAGCTCGTTACACATAATTAGTTCTACTTTACGCGTTCTTATTATTCTTTTTAATGTTAAGTAAATATAATTATTATAAATAGCGATTGTAACATATGTAATATGTCTGTTCTGTTTATCTGGATCTATTCATAAATTATTAATCACGAATTGATTATTAATTCATCATATGCTTCATTTAACAAAGTGATTATAAATTTAGATGATAAAAACGCATTTCTATAAATTATTAAGGACAAAGGAATTATATCGCTGATCGTACCTTAATTCCATTAGGATCAAACACGAAGCAAGTGAAGGGACCGCCTTGTATGTGATTTCCTTTATGCGTTATTGCAATGCTCCATTCTCCCGTTTCATCGGGCTGAAAGGTCGCTGTATGAACTCCGTCCTTTTCCTTGACGGGACACGGCAAAGATCTGCCGGTCGGAGACCATGCGGTCACATCAATACCATCATGACTAGTTCCTAAACAAAAAATTTATAAGTTTATTTTTCGTCGAAAGAAAATCCTTTCACTTATCTTTGAGGGCACATACCATAACTATTGACTAGAACTTCGACGATAGATCCTATGGCGCAAGGATCCATACCCGGAGATTTGATTTTCGTTAGAGGTGGTAAAACTCTGAAATAATAGGGACATCCGTTCACCAGTTCGCCATCGTTGTATACCATTAGCTAGAAAGCGAAAAATTAATTGCAATAACATAAAAGATAATATTTAATATCGCGTACTAAATATTTTTATTTATAATTTTTCAAAAAGTCTTAAATTTGAAGGTGAAAAGATCAGATTAAATAATAGAATTCCTAAAAAAATTCACAGATTCAACAGAGAATTATTTTAAAATTTAAATTCAATTATCAAGACAGATTTGAATATTTTCTAATTATGTTATCCTTTGAACGAACCTTATGCATGCCAACTTCCGTAGGTACGAAGGTGCCTTTGCCGTGAGCTCCGTTCCACGTAAGTCTGCATTCCACGCGTCCGTTGGGACTAATGATTTCACTGCGCACTTCCCTCGCATTTACATCTTTGGTGAGCATTTCTAATTTGAAGTGTGCCTGCGATCAATACAATGTCTTTACTACCAACATAATATGATTAGAAAGATCAAGAGGTAAAAACTTTTTACAATTGTTTTTCATCAAACGAGCCACGATTTTACGAATAAAACAGGATCAAAGAAATTACAACGCGAAGGTGAAAATTCGTGAACGCTGCTTACAATTAACCGTGGCGCGAAGATATAATTAACAAACAATGACTTGACCAACCGGCTGTTGCACTCGGGCGGATGTACTATCGATGTGCACAGCAATCTGTTGACTCGCTTGAGGGCGAGGCTTCACCCATTGAAAGTACGCCGCATACGCCATCACGCCTAAATGTTCCACGTTCTGGTCCGCCATATCTTTTGCCTTTAAGATCGGTTCCACGCCGAGTTTTTTACCGCCGTCGATACCTACAAAGAATATATATTTATATAATTTAATTCAAAGACAATTTGTTAACAAAAATTAATTAAATGTTTTTTCCTTAGGGGAATTGTAGTAAAATTTATATATTCAATTTTTTATATATTATTTATATAATTTCTTATTATTTTATATTATGTTGCATTATAAATTTATTAAAATTGACATGTTATTTTGATTCAATATTACATCAAAATGTATTAAAAAATACATATCTTACCCATCTGCAAATTATGTTCCCAGGCAGATGGATCGGTGTCGAGTTTCTCGTAGGGTGGCGCCGGTCCACCCAGATTTCTGATGATTCCGCAGAGAGCTCTACCGTCGTTCCAGTCCGTCTAAAAGCGGAATAATTGAATATCATTGTGGGCTCTATTATACCAAAGTACTGTTAAGTCAAAACGCCTCAACTCCACCCACCGTAAAGTTCCGTATCGAGGTATGTGATAATTGCGAATTGACCCATCGTAGCGTTGCGTGGAAGCCCGGCGAGCCTTCCTTCATAAAGTACGACAAGTAGGTCATCCCCGAGAGCTCGTCCAAGTACGGCGATGCCAGATACTCTGGTTCTAGCACCATGGGAATGTCGAACTCCCGTTTCGATATCTCCATGGCCTTGCGACAGTTGTAAACACTGTAATTTACATGAATTAATATAATGATGTTTTAAGACAATAGGATTATAAAATATACTATATTACATTATATTATTAAAGTAATTTTCGTTACTTATTGAGGCTAATTTTTTGAAATTATAGAAACAATACGATGTATATCGTGCAATTTTACAAAATGTGTATTTTAGCGAGAATTTGCATATCTTCTTTCTTCGCACAATATAATGATAATTTAAAGTCGAGCTTTTAAATTTGACATTACATGCATTTCGAGAATTTATTCAATTTTCCAAGATTTTTCAATGATTTTCCTAACAATTAATGTTTGACTATCATTGGGATATAATATTCTTGGAATATATAATATTCTATTTCTTTTATATCTCCTCAAATTAGCTGCTTGTTTTTATATCACTTTTTATTTAAAATAGTATCAATTGCACAACTTATAACAACTTAGAATAATTATCTTATTCTCTAGTTTTACCGCATTTATCACAGCTTTTTACTCTCACAATCAGTTATACTTCTATTTAAATATTCTTTCATATATTTTAATATGCAGAATATTTCTCATTATCTTATATTGATTTGAATATGGATTAATATATAATACATATCTAGACTGAAAAGCAACGCTTTTGCTGATACCTCGCTTTTTGATGTGGCATTCTTCTTCTGTTTATTGTCAATACACATTCAATAAAGTTTTATTTACACATTCAATAAAGTTTTCATTATTATAATTTGTTTACCTATCATTCGGATCGAGTTGTCGCCAATGAGGGAACAGACCGGGCTTAGAGTAATCCAAAAGTGCGCTCAGATACACGCCCGAGTTCCAGTCGGTCGTGAAATTGTTGACTCTACATTCCGGTAAAGCAGCCTGAAATACAGAATCTTTTTAAGCGAATTATAGCGGCGCCGCCTTATGAATTATCTACAATTACTAAAAAATTCAAACAAGTCCGAGATATTCAAAAAAGGTCGGACGAAGGCATGAATTTTTACGCGCGCATACACATTATCTCGCGCGTGACTATCCAAGCGCATAACGTATGCGATCGGCGTCTCTGAACTGTTTCGTAATGGAAAGCCCTCGCGTTTACTCGCGTAATATTAATATACGCATGCATGTACGTGGACTCGCGCGTGTGCCAGATTGAGCACGAGTAAAGTAATAGTATCTCTGTATTTGGTTTACGGCCACGATGCCGCGACCTCGACGGTAGCAATTATATCGCGCGCACTTACTGACCTTGAGCCATGCGAGCATGAGTTTCCTCGGCGGGAACTTGGACTTGCCGATTTGATATCGCACGATGAGCGACCATATGAGACCCAGGATCAGCTTCAGGTTGCCGTTCACGATGTCTACGTTACCTGAAAGTCGGGGAAAATATTCAAATTTACGCGAGTGTAATAAACAATAACCAGAGAAAGGTAAAACGTCGTAAAAGGAAGAAAATCGATTTGATTTATCGTCTCGGTCTAAATTTTTTTGCTCTTCACGTCTGGAAGTAACGGTGTGGCACGCACGGGGAAACGATTTAATTTGAGAAAGAAAGAGAGAAGGCACGTGTTTACGCACGGCATCATTCCGCGGTCGTAATTGTACGGGAAAGATTTACGATGACTTTGGAGAACAAGTTTGAGGATTTAATCCTTTATTACTACGAGTCTCGCATCGCGGCTGATATCGCGATTGAATATCTATGCGTTACTCATGAGAACTTATACGTCTTTCAATGGAGAATCTTGGATAATTCTACAAATTTTTAAAATCTTATCATTAGATTTTCAATCAGAAATGGAAATATTTTATTCGATAAAATTATGACTCTCGTTAATTCTACTTTTTCTTGACAGTTGAAGTTATTTTATATTCCACAGATTTCCATAAATGAATTTTTCTAATTTCTAGGAATTTTTAATCGACGATTTTCTCGATGTTTGACTCGATAAAGGACAAGGCGAGTGCGAATTAAGATAATTTAGATTAGCGTCTCTCTTTCTTCTTCTCTTTTAAGCGCGAGATAAGCGTCGCTCTCATGTTGGTCTCATGAGACGGTATCATCTGTACACCATCGCAAATTGCATCGCGCTGCAATAACCGTGTGTTTGTACGACAAAGACGACAACGACGACGACGATGAGGACAACGACGCAGTGATGATTTTCAGCGGTCTCGTAGGCGCCAACGGTGCGACAGGAAAGGCAACGACCTCGACGTTCCGATTTGCAAGGTACATGAAACGTAAAAAGGAAAGATCAGCGCGATCATTAAAATCTAGGCGGTGCGCGATAAATCGCGACGCGTGAACGCGCAACGTTCCGGAACTTAATTTCTTTTTTATTCTTCAGTCTTTTTAATTTCATATTTAAGCAAAAATTATCATCCTAATCGCACGCTGGAATTTTATAAATCTGACAGGTGTCCATCCGCAGACACGATCAAGGCAAATCTCTGACAATGTGTCACGTTTTGCGATGTCATGCGCGAGATGGAAAATATGACAGAGATACGCAATCCTTCGAGTGTCGCTAAAGAATGGATTTGCTCGACGATGACCCGCATGTTCGAAATGATTACGTCCTCGTGTGGTCGCATGCTGACTCATAGATATTATGGCGCGTTATTATATTATACTAATGTTCGAGGAAAACGTATTATCTACAGCAAAGTGCGGCAAGTAATGATCCGGATCGCCGCCGATACTTCCGAGCAAGAAAATCATCCTTTTCAGCACGCGCTTTCGCAGTCTACGATCTCTCGAAAAATAGTATAATTTTACCATCGGAAAGCGAAATTATTCGTAGCGACGTTGATTATCGGTTATTTATACTCGAAGAAAGTACATTGCAAAGCAATCTAGTCTGACTAGAAACGTTGATTCGAGAGAGAGAGAGATAGAGAGGAGAGAATTTAAGGAATTCGAATTAAACCGTGGAAGAACATCTCATCATTGGGCTAGAAAGAGTAGACGATATACTGCAGACAGTGTATTCGATAATTTACACAATAAAAATATTACGCACAGGAAAAAATTAAAAGCGATCAACGCGTGTAGATTGGCGAGGCATAAACGTATTCGTGACGAGATCCTTTTATCGGCGGCGAGGAAGACGCGTGTTTCTAACGATTGCTCATTATTCGAGGAATGCATCGTGGCTCTCTCATACTTCGTATGTGTGTGTGTTTGTGATCGCGTATCATTATTAATAACGCGTTTCTCATGCTTGCGTATTTTTCTCGCATCTCGACACGCCACCGCAAAAGAGAGTTAATGAACACGAGGAGCCTCTCCCACGTGGTTCAGCAGTTAGCGATCGACGACAAACTGAGCGAATTATGGTGCTATTGTTGTGAAATGTAACAACGAGTCGACAACAACGTTATTCAAAGAAAGAGATGAATACAAAAAAGAGAAAAAGAACATTCGGGCAATGTAAACATTGGATGTTTTTCAGCAAGCAACACAAAGGACACAGTATAACACAGTGAATTTTATCCTTATTTACATTCGGCAACAACAAGGATGAAGTGATACACAGTGTCCTCTATATCACTTACTGAAAAATGCCCATTATTCATACTAGTATCATGTGATTATAGAATTTAAAATATCAATACACATAGATATGTGTGTTATTCTTAAGCAAAGACAAAAAAAACGCTGAAAATATTCTACGTAATATAATATTTACATTCAAATCTAGCAAAAAAATAAATCTTTTCATCTTCAATCTTTTTATCAATAAAAAAAAACTTAATTTTAATTTTTATCTATTTTTCTCGTCAAATAAAATCTTTAAACAAATCATGATCTGTCGTTCTTTCTTTGAATATGTTGCTACGAAAAATTTAGACGATTAAAATATTAATAATTATAATTTTTCTTTCCTAAATTAATATGTAATTTACATATTAGGAAGTTAAAGAGCAAAGAGAATGATTTAATCGATCATTATCGGTCAGTGTCGATCAGCCGAGAATTATTTCATGAGACCAGAAAAATGATGGGAATCCAACTTAATTTCTACTTATTCCAATGAGAATTATATGACTGAATACTTTGAATTAGGAACTGGATACACACACACACATTGTAGACGTAAGTTGTAACGATCGCCCGTCGTTCCAATTACGCTTCGTAATTGAACGTTGAGCGCGTGCAACGCCTTGACGATCTCGCGCGACCGTGGACGGATGGTCGGCCTTCGTCTCGCGTTATTATACCTTGTAATTCTCATCAATCTCTATAAAACATGGCATTTTTCCTATGTTGTGGATGGTATGCAAAGGAGTCAATTTCGCCTGTCATATTACGTCAAGAACGATTGCGAATTTCATCGCCATAAAATGTAATGTGTATCGGTGCACTTTAATAAATTTGAATAAATCAAATCAATCAATTTAACATGCTACAGAATATAATAGAGCCTTTTCTCTATCTGATTATAATAAATATTCAAATGTAGTCATTAAATATTTATTATAATTATATTTTAATAATTTGTCTTCAATTTTTAATCATTTGCTTTTCACAATTTTATGTGACTCACTACTTATTACAAACTCTATTAAAAATTAATGCTAAAATTATTCACTTCTAATGATAAAATTATTCTATTTGTATTAAATTATGCTCGCTGAATTACTTACAATAATTCCATTTTTGGTAAAAAATATAATTGAATACAGTTTGCTTACCTATATTGACGAGCTTGACGCCATCGGCCTCGATAGCTTGCAGCGCCGTGGACACGTTCTCCAGGTGATGATGCTGATTCGCCGGTCGCGGATTCCATCGCGGTAAACGACGTTTCGTGAGCACCTCGACCAGGGCGCAGAGACGCGTACCGTCTCGAAAATCCTCGGCGAGGTCCAGCACGGGGCCACCACCCACGTCACCGGCGTGCTTTAGATGCTCATTCACCCAGTTCCGAAAGGTGTTGGCCTGGATCTCCACCCAGAGGTCCTCGTGGCCCTTGATCGGCATCCCTTTTGCGGCCGTACCTTCTGCCGAGCGGGCCACCAGACCCACCAGTTGTTCCGGTCGTAGTTGTTCCGTCGATTGCATTTTCGCGTTCCTGTCGATGAGATCAGATGATCAACACTTACATACCTGAGATCAGATGATCAACACTTACATACCTGATAAATTTGTATTATCGCATATCGATTTCATATTAATAATTTTGTATCATGCTTTCCCTTGTATCAAAGGTTAAATCAAGTCGAAAAAGAAAGTAAATATATTTATAGTCATTTGTATATACATTAAAAAAGACATCCATCTCGCTAATCTCAACAAATCCTTTGATAGATATAAAATTCTTTCAATATTTTGTTTAAGAATTTTAGCGATATTAAATCTTTAAATAAAATTGATAGCAAGTTTACGGCTGCGAATGTTTTGAATGAATTTTTATGGTTACAATCATAATTAAACATATTTCGATTAAGCAAACGTAGGGATTATTACACAAGCAGCCATGGAACACACACCGAATAAGGAATAAATTATGAGAAACATTTGATTGCTCGTGTGCGAACGCTTAAGCGAATAAGCTGTCTCGACCTTTAAGGTCGTCCACAAGAAACTCAATTTACTGCGATAAAAAATTGACGAGCGTGCATTGTGCATCCACGAAGCGAGGAGAAGACGAGGGAATTCCGCGCGAGGTGAAAGTGTTGATGCATATATCTGCGGCGAATATATCTCTGGTCCATTGCTGTGAATCTATTTCCTCGTTTATCGCATGCAATATCGTGTATACATTTTTTACCACTTTGCGCTAATTTGGCGAAGCCTTCGAGTTTGAACTTTTAATTAAACGGAGAAACGGCGATAAGAAAGCGATTCAAATGAAATTCGCCAATTATGATCAAACTGATATGCACTGCATCTAAAACGACAGAAAATTCTTTCGCTAATATTTAATTTTCAAATGTGAGCGTGGCGGTCCATTTCTGACATTAAAACTTTATACGCAAAAATATGATCGAAATCCGTTAATTATACGGTTCGCGAAGCACTTGAGAGTTCTCGCGTACCAAATAATAAAAAGTTTTTATATTAATGTTAAATTTGTAGATCGCAGCGGTCTACTTGCGACCGGTGAAAAAAATTACATCGTGCCGAGATATTATCGTGGAGCTGAATTTTATTTTTAAGGCCAATTTGCGGTTCCATTATGAAGTAGGATGTTTAATTGTATTTAAAGAGTCGTGAAAAATTTGCTATCAAAAGTTCCAATCTGTAACAATAAATGTCCGCGATGCACAATCGCGAACATTTTCATCGCAGATGCACTGTGATTTTCTATTTATACATGCACGAGAGCGACGAGCTATTTCAGCGTGATATACCGCAGCATGACATCATTGTTGTCTCAAAAGCTCGTCCGACCGGTGACTCTTGCGTAAGTGCGTAAAAATTTACGGTGGATCGCGCAGACGACGGATCTTCCCGACTTCGCATAGCAATTAAGGACACGAATACTAAAAATCTCGTTTAATCTTTCGATTTTTTTATATTTTAATGACAATCTATAAAATAAATTAAAGGAAAGAAGCCTTATTAAAATATAATGAAAAAAAACATCATGAAAAAATTTAGTTCAAGTGAGAGAACTATATATAGATATCGATATATTTTATAGATATCGATTAGATATTACGCAAGATAGAAAAACGCATCGCGATGTAAGAGCAAAAAATCTCAACATTTATTAAAACGTGTCATAGATGGACTCAAATAAGGATTACTCTCATGCATGTAAATGACATCGCGAATCAAATTTATTTAAGAGAAATATACCTCATGTATGACTTTCACTGCGCTCTCAAATTTTGTTCACCATGCATGTACTCACGCACGCACGAATCTTATTCGTGTCATTCATGTCGCTCGAGAAAACGTTGCTGGAAAAATTCGCTCTGATTTATGCAACTGTTCCATACATTAGCTTCATAAGGCATTTCGCATGTTGATTGCGCGATCGATGGAATGAAATCGAAGGGACGGCGTGCTTAAAAGCAGAACTCCATTTATCAGAATCTCGTTTTAATAGAAAATGATATGACGTCGAATTGCTTATTAAAGCAATTAATTTTATTTATTAAAAAAATTTTCAACATAATTTTCGCGGATTTATGGATTCTTGTATTTTAAATGCTTTAAGTTTGATCAAACACTTGAACCGGTAGACCGTTAAACTCATAGATTCTCGAGACAAAGTTTTTTATTTCACGAACCTTTATCTTTAATCTATGATAGCTCTTAAAGATTATCGAGCATGCAACAGGTATCTTCATTCAACGATTACTCCGAAAAACACCTGCACAACCTTATCATTCAAACACTTTTTCAAGAGTCTTCTGATAAACGGAATTCCTCTTCACTACTTCAACTTCGTTCCATCTAAAGCGACGAATAGAATTCCATCGCGGCGCACTTATCTGGAGGATACTCATGGACGAATACTTCGGAAATATATATACATACAAACACACACATTCATCCACCCACGTAACCGCGCACATGCAGGACGCAGGAACGTACGGTATGCGAACTGGTATATTTACGTTAGCTCTTCCTCGGACTGACGGCTTGCGGTTCCACCAGGTCGGTCGGTGAGTTCTAGCGAGCGGATCGTGACGACGTTGACGAACGCCGACTACGATGGGTTATCGCTATGCGAGAAACGCCATTTTTGGATATAACGTCGCGGCGCCGTTCGTTGATGAGTGTTCGACGTGCGTAAGCTCACTGAATCGACATGGAGACCCCTTCCTCTTTCTTCTCTCGTTCTCCAGCAATTCTCCGATACAATCGCCCGTTGCGGGACCGTGGGGTACGCACGGTTGTGATGGCAGCAGGGCCGTAGCGGTAAGCAGCATGACCTGTTGACTATCAAATGCTGAAAAATAAAAAATAAAAGCTGACAATTTCTGCACCAATTTAACTCTTTCTCGTTTCATCAATTTTGACTAAAAAAAAACTTTATCGAAATTTACCGAGGTTAATATATAATACATAATATTGATTAACAGTTATACAATGGGATCGATGGGACAAGAGAAGTTTGAACATTTTAATATTTTAAAAAATGACAGAAAAGCACCTCGAATTAATCTTTAATTATATTTGTGAAAAGAGATGTGAGGATAGATGTATATGACACACATCTCTTTCTCAATTTATATGTAATTAAATAATTAAATCAAATCAAACTTCTCAATTCTGCATTTGCTGCGGAAAGAATACATATATTTTTTTTTGTTGCATTTATATAATCTGGATTCAGCAAGTTTCGCATAATACTTTCCTGAATTCTAAGCAGCGGAAGCGCACAAATCATTCCGCAAGGTGGTGGCACCTGTCGGAATCATAAGCGTTGTGCTGCATACAAACAGGCGAGCTTCTCCACCTGGCGAACGATGATATTACGTTTACCTTGCGCATTTCATGCCCTATCGCGTTATTTGTGACATCAGCGTGACTCTAATCGGACAAAAGCTTCTTTAGCTAAGCTATAATAGAATCGTAACGTATAAATACCAATCTAGCAAGTTATAATACCTATTTTTTCTTAATCGAGAAGATTAACATATAACATTAATAGGTAAAAATAATGCTCAATCAAACGAGTAATATTAATCATATTGATCGCAATAATTGACTAAATGCGCTTTTTCTCGCACTCTTTTTTACTTTAAAAGTTAAATAAATATTGTAGAAAAGTAATATAGATAATGATTCCAAAATCTATCATTGCAGATACTGTTATTACGATAAATTTAATTATTGTCATTAGATGTTACGACAAATTACGAATGATATATTGGATAATAACATGATGAAATTGATTACAGCATTTTTGCATATTCGCACGACAGTATAGCGACGGAGATTTCAATTCCAATTATGCGAATTAAGCGAGATCTCTCTCGATCGGGCGTTTATATCTCCGCGCGAGCGAGCGCACCGATCCAAAAGCTTAGCCCACTCTTGACATATCTTGAAACGCTCTAATTTATCCGTTATTGTAGCAGCAACAACGGAACCCAATGCTTGACATTCACTATTACAAGGCTAACGATTTACAGCATAAAGAGGCGATATTATATTGCAATATGACAAGTATTATAACGTTAACTTTACAATATAAATACTTCATTATAATTTTGTTTTATTTGATGTCATAATTATCATAAAGTTATCATATTTGACTGCTGTTAATCTTTCGGTAGAGCATATTGAAAATAAAGCGCATACAAGTGTATAATGTACATATATAAATAGTTATGAGTAAACGTTGAATAAATCTGGTACAAGGTTGCTAATGGCGAGCTGCCAATAATTTGCCACTGGTAGCTTAGTATCAAATTACCAGTTTTTCTCGCCAAGTCAGATGCGTCTTTATTGAAGATTGATTATAGTACTGGAAGAAATTGTTTATATCCTAAATTTTGCAAGCATAATATATTTATAAATTTAAAAATAACAATTTGTCGTATTATCTTTATTTTTATCACTGTGTGACTATCGAGTTCTGCGACCTACTATCGGCAGAGTAGTATTCTACATCGATATTTTGTCAGCACGGAAAAGCTCTTAAAGAGATATCAGATGACACATGTTATTCTTTGATAAGATTTGAATTTAATCTTGATAATATTAATCATAGATAAAGTTGTACACACTATGCTATCAATATAAGCTTGTATTTGGATGACAAATCTTTCATGCGTGTGTGCGTAGCATTTAAATACAAAAATATATGTTCTATAAAAACATTTATATACAAAAGTTGATGCATCGCAATCTCTTCAAAAGATCATTGAAAACGTGCTATATTGTAATTTATAATTATCATCTCTTGAAAAATTAATTAAAAGTCTAATTCTAAAATGCTAGAACATTAGATCAACTTCGATCAAGATATATTCAGATCAATCATGCAACAATTTTATATTCAATATAAAAAAATTTCTTTTCCAAATTTTACATCTTTGAAAAATAAATTAGGAACTTTATACATTCAACAAACTATTAAAGATGTAATTAAAGTTTTATAAAGCCCCCTTACGCTTTATCGGAACTTTAATCGCAAATGCATGACGTAGCGTTTTGTCCAACGATCTGGCCGGGGTGACTTGGTCAATTTTTGACTTACTACACCGTGTAGAGTAGCTATGTAGAGTTTGGCAGGGCGCCGGCGCCGGTCTCTATAAATAGCGGGTGCGACGCCGACCGCCGCTCGCGACGGACAAAATAGCGACAAAGACGGTGCAAGCATGAGGGATGATTGCGAGGGGGTGAGCGGCGCGCGGCAGTGGTTACGGACAGCGAGCGACGCGGCGGTAGTAGTAACGGATAGTAGTCGCGGCGGCGGACAGTAGTAACGGGTAGGCTACTCGTCGGCTCCGATCCGGCCGCGACGACGATCAATCGAGCCGGCAAAGGGGTGACGCGAGAGACACTCGGAGGGCTCTCCGAATTTTTTTGAAAAGAAACTCGGACTCGCGTGAACTGGCCTAATGTGAGTGACGTGAAGGAGTGAAGTCAACGACGAGCGAGCCGCTCAGGAATCAGCTTTCGAAGATCAAACAAGAGTTCTATAATTGCGTTTGGAAGTTCATTCGAAAGGTCGCGATGTCACAGATGGATACTATTGTTTTGTAAAGAGGGATCTTGATTCTTGAAGTATTCTTCAATTTGACAATCGCTATTTTAGAGGGACGGTCGGGAAGAGAGAATTTTTTCGTATCTCGACTATGTGCCGGTGTCTCGCGGGCATCAGAACACTAGGATCGTCGTCGCCGTCGTCAGTGATCGAGCACGGCGTCGTCGTGACGGCGGAGCGTAAGACGTGACTTCGTTTGTACAGCTGGTCTATCAGTTGATTCGGCTGCGGAGAACAAGAGAGGTGATTATGTAAACCGCGCTGGAAATACGCGAAGCAATCGTCCCGTAGTCCCCATTGATGGACGGTGAATTTCCATCCGGATGAAAGAGAGAGACTAATTATATTCGTGCCTCGTGCGACGAGGTTACTAACCAGTCAACTCTCCGACCTGCGCTTGCGTGTGTTTCTTCAAGTGGGAATACGAGTGGTGTGGGGGATATAATTATAAAGATCTTTATAAAATAAGAAAATCCAGAATGTTTTTGAATTTAATCTGTTGAACGTTTAAAACCGTCGAAAATCAATTAAAAAAGATTTACACATTCAAGGTTTAATATTTCAAAATCTGTAATTTAAAATTCTAAACATCCAGAGTAATAGATTATGCAATCTTAGTATTAAAATTAGCACATATGAAATTTTTTTAAAACTTAAGATCTAAAATAAAAAATATTAAGCATTAAAATGAGGCTTTAAAAATCTAAATATTCAAAGTTAGAGATCTTGAATATTAAGATTAATAATAAAACATATTAGCTCGAATTTAAAATTTCCATTTCTGCGATCATAAAAATTACAATGTGAACCATATAATCATAAATGATTGATACAATAATCGAATAACTAAATTTTGATTGCGTATTATATATGTAAATGCATCGAAATAAGATTGGGATGAGAGATTTATAGCTAAGGAAAGAATAATTAGCTTCCCGACCCGACTTTATTTTACGATCGCGCTACTTCTGTAAGTCCATCACGCACAGCTTTGACATATCACGCCAACTATAAATTCAAATCGATTAGCACGCTTTCAAAGTACAGATTTATTCGAGTTGATGCATCAAAAAATTACAATATTAGCTTATGAAAAGTCTGTTCGAGAGAAACGTTAATAAGAGAAATTGCTAACAAGTTTATTAATATCTACTACTTAAGTTGCACTTAAGTTTTTGAATTCTTTTTTGCAGATACATAATGGCTCTAGTAATGTTACCGTGTGATCTGCCTTGGTGGCCAGCTGTGGTAAAACAACTGGACAAAGCCGCCTTAGCGAAAAATTCCGACGACCTAATAGACGCGATGCAACGATTGCATGACATGTGCAAGTATGACTCGCATTATTTTAAAAAAATCGTTTTTTTTTGTATCAAAGTAAATTCTCCTCTAAAATATTAATATGCGCTTATCTCTTTACATTTAATATATATGTATATATATATCTACATTCATAAATATTTTTGATGTTTGATATTATTATATTTTGTATTATTTTCAGTATAAGCCTTGATCCCGAAGAGGACATGCAGAATGGCGATTTGTTCTCCATGTTGGGGACTTTCCTAAATAAAGACCTTGAGCCTATAGAAAGGGAGCAGGTGTTTACAAAGACAATACCGCGAATGGTGGAAAGGGCGAAGGATTTAAAATGCACTAAACCTTCGCAAGGTTTACACTTTAGTCTGCAGCAGCAAGGTATTGTTATCGTGAGATTCGATATTGTTCCAGATATCCCGAAAAAATCGCAATCATCTTAAATATATATTTTTTCAAAATACATGTCCTTCAAAGTATTTAAAATAAAGATATCGTGTCCACGCAAGAGAAAGATTAAGTTTCAAATAAGGATTACTTATCTTATATAGGTGATAGCGTCGAATACAGTTATGCCTTCGTCTCCTCTTTAATCGCAAACGCATTTTTCTCAACGTATCCGAAGAGAACCACAAAGACGCATCCCACATTGCGCGATTTTAATTTTACAAACTTCTTCAGACATCTGTACAAGTGAGTGATTTTCGAGAGAATTAAATTCTTGAAGAAATTAGCTGTTTGCTTTTAATCTGAAAAAAAAAGAAAAAAAAGAATTATAATTTCTCAAATATTTTATTTTTCAGAAACGCACAGAAAGCCAAACTCAAAAGTATCTTTCATTATTACAATTATCTCGATACAGAACATGCACTCGATGGTCGTCTGATAATTTCAAGACAGGTACAATAATTAAATTGAAATTTCCTTGACTTTTTACCTAGTAGTCATTTTTTCAGATTTTGTTAATTCTTTGTTAATTTTTTTGTTAAGAATAGTTACAATATACAAGGTGTTTAATACAATTTGTAGGTAATGACATCTAAGCAGTGGTTAACTATCGAAGATTGGCTGGAAAGTAATATACCTTTATGTCCATTGACGATACGTCACGAGGGTCGATTGGAGAGAATTGAAATGGAATCCAAAGTACTACAAGTTTGCTTCGTGAATGCTAAAATTGGCGGTGGTGTGCTCGATGATGATATCACGCAGGAAACTGTACATGTAAATTAAGACAAATTATTATTAAAATTCATATATTATACATGTATCGATATAAATTAATAGTAAAAAATTACGCGGTTTGCAGAATTGCTTCAATAATTTAATTTTTAGAAATGACAGTTCTTCACCTAAAAAACAAATCTTTTATTTTATTTTAAAGAAATTGAGAAATATAATTATGCATTTATTTATTCGAATATCCTTTTTCAGGTGGCGACGCATCCGGAAATGCTCGCCGCGATACTATCTGTCGAGGCCTTAGAAGACAACGAAGTATTGATAATTGAGGGTGTTAGGCATATGGCGAGGATAAATGATCCGCGGCATAAGGCGATATTCGAGGGTATCTCGAAGCCGAACGTGGTGAGTGAAATGCGAAACTCTCTTGATTTGTGTACAATTTGATTTAACCGCGAAGATGGAAAGATGAACAATCGTACAGTTTTCCGAGCGCAGGTAACGGTCTGCTGCATAGATCCCGAGGACTATTCGCGATTGCCACTGACGCAATTCGAGGAAGACAACATTCTGAGAGAAATGAACAAGTCATTGCTAGGATTTCGTCAAAGACATGTGCCCAGTAGTCCTACAGATCCTATCAAGACGGATCATCTGGACGCGGAAGTCGGTTTGGGCTCGCGTAGGTTATCACCGATCGGTGAGAGCTTCAGCAGCACCCCGCCGGAAGCGGAAAGTGAGGATAAAGTCTTCGCGGCAAGCAGTAATTCCAAGATAGGTAGGAGACACGGGGAACAAGGGCGATCCATGTAATTCATATAACTTACTCAAATTGTACATATATTCCTTTGGCGTTTAATAATTTTCATTTTCTTCTTCTTCGGGCAGATAAGCAGCCTCTGTGCGACGAACATCACAAATTAGAGAGCACGACGGAAATACGTAGCAAGCCTAACGGTAAATCGATGAGACCGCCGAGTCCTCACAAAGTGTGCAAGGATGCGAGCTGCACGACCCGAAGAAACAGATTTATCGTGTTAGGATCCAGCGGAGAAGTTTTGCCAGTGACGCGACAGCTCGGTCAAATGTCGGTTTACAGCAGCTGTAACAGTCAAAGCACGGATAGTTTTCATAGTGCTAAGGAAACTATTGATGAAGAACCTGGTATGTGTATCAACATTACATATCAAGTAAATCTGAAACGAAGAACAGTTTTTATATCGAATAAACTTTTAGAGGAAGAAGAACAAAAGCTGAATAAACGTTATAATGCGCAATTAGACACGCCCGAGAGAAGAGGAACTTTTGCGCAGCGACTGAAAGACGCTCTGAAGCGAGAGAGTACGGCGACCGGCGGGATAACTTCTTCAAATACCTCCTCCGGCGAGAGCAGTTACGCCGTTGGCATAAGTGTTAGTGGTAGTCATGTCGGCGATCAAGACATCAAGTGAGTTGAAATTTACGTAAACAAATACGCGGCGTCATTAGATATCTATTTATACATATAGCGGAAAAATATTAAACAGCATATATATGACCAGAGTAGCTTAATGTTAAGAATACTCGCCCGGTAAGTGAAAGATCCTGGGTTCAATTCCCGGGTTCAGTCACTCATGATTTAATATTCTTTTTTAATATATACATTTCATCTTATTATATAATATTAATATATAATATTTTATTATATACATATAATAATATATATAATATATTCATATAATATATACATATATATACAATATATACATATAATATATTCATCTTATTATATAAATTATAATTATATATATACACATTTGAAGTTTAATCTATAATCATCTAAATTATATTCTTTATTTGAAATTAGGTTTGTGATTAGGATAAAATTAGGCTGTGATTAGATTATGATGTAACTATGGCTGCGTTCCGTTTTACGCATATGCGTGCATATTTATAGTATGCGTAACGTATACTATAGATAAATGCGCACATATGCGTGAAACGAAACGCAGCCTATGTAATTCATGAAAGCTATCAGTATAGATATTAATACACGTATCATTAGCATAAATTTAAATTTTAAATTTATATATATAGAAAATGATAAATTATATCATTATAGCATTATGTAACAAATAGTAACTTTCTAACTTTATATATTATTATGGAATATATATTATTATATGTATATATATATATGTATATTATTATATGTATATATTATATGTATATTATATTATATGTATATATTATATATATTATTATATGTATATAATTATATTATATATTAATATTATATATTATTATATATATTATATATTATTGGGTGAGCCTAAGAATATTATAGATTAAGAATATTAATTCCATGAGGCCTGGATAGCTCAAAGGTAAGAGCAGTCGCCTGGAAAACAAAAGGTCATATTTTTTTTGTTGTAATAACCAAAAATGTAGTAAGTAATTTATCATAAAATGTTTATATAATCAAAAAATGTATCGGGATAGCTAATGATTTTCAGGCATCATTTAATTACTTTTTCATTTTATGCAATATAAATTGCATATAAGATTGTATATATGCACAACAGATAATGACATATAATTAATTGTCTATAATAGATAATAGATAACAAATCAAAACTTTCTTTATTTTTTTAAATACTTCTTATGAGATCAGAGAATTAATAAACTGAATACTAATTATTCTATTTCTACTTCTTACTACTTATTCTATTTCTACTTCTTACTACTGAATTTAATTATTCTTCAGTCACACGTAAAAAAAAGTGATTATAAATATTTTATGTTTCATTATGTTTTATCTTGCATCTTTTAATTATAAAATATTCATAATTATATTATCATTGGATAATACAATATCGCAGGGTGAGAAGAGGAGGTTCGAGAGGATTCGTCTTACGGGATGAAACAGTAGATGAAGAGTTTCTAAAGGAATCTCTAGAAGCCGAGCAAAAATGGCTAGGTCGATTCCGACAAAGTCAGGGACCTATGTTTCAAAGAAAAGACACGAGTGCAAGTAGCAAATATAGTTTCAGCACGGAATATAATTCTGGCAAGTACTTAGAAGACCTCGCTTGTAGATAAACAATATTTATTTTTAGCAATAGTAAAGAAACTAAAATTTTTACTTACGTAGATTTTTGTTCCGAATTGGAGGAGGTTTATGAGCAATTGTCAAAGTGGCTGGAAGATCCGATAGTGGCGGATGAGAGCAGGGAACTGGATGCGAGGGATCGGGCGGTCGTACGATTCGCCGGTTCGCTTCTGAAACGTGCTTTGAGTGAATCGTTCGCTGGTGTGCCCCTTCAAGAAGGCGAACCGCAACCGTTCATTGATGCGAACGACGTGAGCCAACAACACAAGCTAGCCTTAGCCGTGAGGAGTCTCAGCTTAGAGCTCGCTCGACAAAAAAATCGACGACAACAATCAGTAAGGAATAGCAAATATATGAAGTTTCCCTGCAAAAAAATCGCTGAATTAAAAAGGCATGAATGACAAGATTCATTTTGTAGAAATAATTACAAATATTTACAATTTTTTTTACCTCTAGAACAAAAATATTTATTATTCAAAATAATTTGTTTATTGCTTTGTATTTTGTTATAATAGACAATAAATCGAAATTTTCTTTCTTTTATGCTTTTCTAAATGCTTTCTTTTGAAGACAGAAAACTAATAATTTTAATATGTATTTGGTTGTTCTTTAATCATGGATTTTAAAAAAAACACACTTGTAATATAGAAACATACAAATATCTTTAAAAAACATAAACATACAAGTATTTTCAAAAACTTGTAATAAATATAATAAGATGGAATGAGAGACAGTTCGAATCGATTTGAGCGAGATAAATTAATTACTTTATATATATAAAGCTTTATATAAAGCAATATAATATCGGAAAATGAAAGTTTCGAGTTTAAACTATAGGCAACTTGAAATACTATACAGGTAATTGAATCTGAAGATATAGATTGTTACGAGGACGCCTCGAGTGAGATGGTAAGAGAGGCGAAGGATACTCAACGTAGGAAACTATGGGCCGTCACGTTTACATCGGAAATGTTCCAAACGTTGGTTGATGATCAAACGATTGTATGCCTATCTACACCGCCTATGTCGAGCCAAATAGCAAACAAGCATGAGATGCGCGAAGCGAACGTGCTTGATATTTCGGAGGTGATTCAGAGACTTGACCGTATCACGTGTATAATCGCAATGCATGAGGCAGTACAACTGCGTTATCTATATTTAAAATCGCTTGTGAAAAAAACATTTTCTGCAGTTTGAGAACTCTCTCCGATAAAATATAACTCGTCAAGATAAGACTATTCGAGATTTCGCGTTTACGTCTTCTCGACTTGGTGCATGACGGACGATTGAGATCAGCTTTTCTCATCTGATACATTTGAAACCTTTAACAATTAATTCATTTATCTGTCTCTCAGTCTATCCGACTTTTACACTTCTTTACTCACATTTCTTGCTTCTTATCCTTTATTCAATATATTAACTATTAAATGAAAGTATTGTCTATACATTCACTTTTTTCTCTATCATTACCATAAAAAAAATAATATAATTCCTTATGTTAAATTAAAATGATAACAACCTTTTGTATCTTATTTAGTTTCATATGTTACGCCTTTTTAGCAGTTTTAATATCAATTTTAATATCATTCAACAATTACATTTCGAGCAGCAAGCATTTAAAATCTTTACTAATTATATCAGGAATGATTGAAACATAGCAAAATGATATAATTTAATAGATTATTTTAATGTGTATATAGTTACCGCGGGAAAATAGTCCTCAAGGAGGGGATTTATTACCCATAGCTACAGGTAACTGGGGATGCGGGACTAGGTTGAAGGGCGATCCGCAATTAAAACTCGTAATTCAATGGCTCGCCTCTTCCTTGGCAGGAGTACCAAGACTAATCTATTATACTTCTGGCAATCCAAGTTTATCTAAGGTAAAAGAAAAGATATTATAATAATATCAATTTTTTATCGGGTAAATTTTCATTACCAAACAAATTTTCAGTTAGATACCGTAAGCAGAGTTCTGATGGACAGACGTTGGTCGGTGGGTGATTTGGCCGCCGCGACGTTGAAGTATGCTGGAGAAACGATCGAAGAACAGACGGAAGGAAGAAATAATCTCTTCGAGGAAATTATTGGTATGGACAAACCGAGTCCTTAGCCCGATTCAATGCTGTCCGTTCTAGTGGACGTGCTGGCTACTATGATCGAGGACAGCTTGAGAGCCTAATATATAAACATATTACTCTCCTACGGGAGGAATGCATACATACAAAAGGAAAAAAAAGAATAAACGGGTACTTAATTGTAGAATTAAACGCGCAAGATCGAGAACTAATTGTAATTCGTGTAAGCGTAGTCTTAGTAGATGAAACGTATTATACGAGGTTTATTTTAGCAAAAGAGAGGTCGATCCTCATTATCACTTTTCGTTCAAAATTACTCTCGTCTAGCATATCAAAATATCAGGCAAACTCGCACAATTCGTTGTACAAGGCAATATATCAAATAGCAAAAAATATATAGTCATTGCGATATTTTCTAGTCTGTAGAGTATCACATGCTGTCTGATCAGATTGCATTATAAGAATTACTGCATTTCCAAGAAACAATGTAGAAGAGAAAAAATAGCGATTTAAAAGTTTAATTGTGTCATTAATGACATATTATTATAAGACAGCGTGAGAAATTCTTTACAATTTTACAGTCTAGTCGTGTCATGTCTGGAAGTCAATTCTGGTTTTATTTTGTACGGAACGCGTAACTGCTTGGAGTTACATGCAATAATTAATGAGGCACAATATACTAAACTATATATTTTGTACAATAATATTTTTAAGTCGCGTTCTATTTAAGTCGGAGTATATATATATATATATGTAACATGTGAATAGATTTTTAGAAGGAAACTTTTAGTATTTTATAATAAAATATTAATATAGATCGTTTTTTTATAAAGATGAAACTTACATGTACACATATATCGCTGAAATCATAAACTCGATAAAAAGTAGATAATTTGGCCTAAAAAGAAAACGATATGGCTTTGTAGTATGTAAATCAATTAAAATGAGGTCTTCCATTATTAAAGCGGAACATGTGAAAGTATCTGTCCTAAACTAATATATACTCTACATACTTCTCATTCTGAACGATGATAGAAGTAAAAAAAAAAAAAAAAAAAAAAAAATATATATATATATATATCGAATGTGCAGAATATATATACATGGAGTATATATTAATAAATTTATATCACAATATATATAGGATCTTGTATCTATTTGAGATTTCCTATCTGATTATATTTTAATGTACATAATTTGCAACATAAATTTTATCTTTATTTTATTTTTACTAAATATTAAATTGATATTAATATAAAATAAAATCTCTCTTGGAACGCATCACAGTTTTTATTAATATCACACGTTATTGTTAATCAAAATGTATTAAACATACCATTTATATGTACAATATTTAACATAAATATTATTTTTGAATAATATTACCGAAATAATTCATGTTTTTTGGATAATCTCATTACTTTATCACTTATTATTACATTTTAAGTAAAAAAAAAGAAAAAAAATCATATAATTTCTCTACTTTTATTTTTATGTGCTTGATACACAATATATATCTAGAGTAGTATTCAAACTATCTCTCGATTGACTGTTTAAACTTTAATCCTGAGTTTGGTATTACTTACTTATCTAAGGAGTAAAAAAGACCATATATAAAAACAACAGATTCTATTTACATATCAGAAAAAGAGACTTCGTAGACGTCGCCCCACGCCTTGTCTGTCGTACAGAATGTTGAATTTGTTTACAAACTGATTTATATTATTACAACCTTTAGTTATAATGCCAAGATACGTCATCAAGCCAAAATCATTACATTGCTAAAAAAATACAAAGACATTATTAAAAAAAAATACTATTATAAAGTGTCTGATTAGTAAACTTATATTCAAAACACATATATATATATTTATACTAACGTTATAAAAGTCAGCCTTAAATTTCGGATTATTTAAGACAGGCAATCGATGACTCAGAGAACAAGCTGCTCGAAGAACTTCATGATTTCCTTTCAATTCCCCACTCTCTACTGCTTGCACATATCTTAGAACAAGTTTTACTCTTGCATGCAACATTTTAATGGCACTGTGTTGAGCCGTTAAGTGTTCTGCCACTGAAATAAAATATTTATGTATCATTGATTCCAATAAAAAAATATACTTGTCAAAATATATAAAGTGCCTGCATCTACTCACCTACTGAACATTCTCCTTGTTCGTTATTACACATTCTTTGTACATGATCAACACCAATCCTTTCAGCTTCTTCTGTGGCTAGTGTATAAGTTAATGGGACAAATAACATGGTAGCTTCGCCGTTAACTAAATCAATTACTGATTCATACATGGAGACAGATAAATGCTACAACAATCATCATACTTTCTTAGATATAATGTTCTTTTATATATTTAATAAGAAAAAATTCTTTTATAGAAACATGTTTCAATAAACTTGCCTCTGTATTTTTCGGTCTTGGATCTAGTTTTAACAATACAGGACTTTCATTTATTTCACAAAGCTGTTTGTGAACTCTAATATCTCTCTCATTAGGCATATCACCAGTGGTATACCAGCCCAAAAAATCCATTTCACTAAAAACTAGCTTAAATTGTTCTTCCTTTGTATTATAATAATCCCTATCGATTATAACATCATCGCCAATGCATGTAAACAATAATTCAAAAGAATTCATAATCTCTATATTACGACCCTTCTGTTTACCAATCAGAGCACCATACACTGAAAATTTTAATATCAGAAATGATACATTGTTAGCCCATGAAATATTACCAATAAAATTTATCAAACATATAAATATAATATTTTAAGTTATATATTTTGATTGTACATTAATATGTATCAAATCCAATTTAGAATTTATATACATAGACTTTCCAATATATAAATTAATTAAAATATAAATTTTGATGTCTATATTAAAATTTTCTCTTATTTATTAAATAAGAATCTCGTACCCAATTGATCACTGCCCTCTTGAGCTCTGAGTCTGGTCCAGTGCTCACTAACGTTCATGATTACCAGTGGATGCAAACTGATGGACACAGAACCGACGGTGCCCGAAGACGCCATAACCTTGACGCTTCCGGACACCTTCGGATTCCTCTCGGAGGTGTCTTCGTCGATCTCCATCGGCGTCTGCTCATTTGTATTGTCCGTAGGCACATCGACCTCCATGTCACTTTTCTATCACCGCTCCTGCTGCTGTATTTTTGCAGACTCCAGCAACTTTCGCGGAGTAAACAGATCCGGATTGAATGAACGTTGCTGAGACCAAACACACGAATTTCCTTCTCCTTAAATCGTTGAAACGCCAGTCTAAATTTTTAGCGTGATCCAATACGGGCGGCCATCGCGTCGATTCTTTCTATTCTCAGCTGCACCTGTGGAGGGGGAACTAATCATATCGATGTCTCGAAATGCAACAATTGTCTCTCGCGCGATACAAAGTCCCAAATCTTTTTAAATTACAAATTTATTCTTTCCATTTCTCGCGCTCTTTATTTTCCCTTCTTTTTCTCTATTGCTCTAGATTTATATCTAAGACTTACATCTAATCTAATCTACATATATATTTCATTTTGAGTGCAAGAAGTGCAACACAGTGCAATGTGTGTATTTCTCTATTTTCTCAAATTTTCTGTTTTTATCAAGAATTAAAATACCGAATGTCGGCTTCGGAAGAAACCTCAAGAAAATTTTAAATTTGTTGATAAGAAATTAATATTGACAAACGTACGGAAAAAACTTGGCACTGGAAACTTTTCAGCACAATTTCTCTAACGGAATAGCGTTGCCTCTTGCCAAGTCATGTTCTCCCAACATCTAGAATTCAGCCTTTGAATCCGGAACTTACTTCAGTTCGATTTATCTCTTCCGATTTCTGTTCTCCTGGTGAGCGCGAAATTTGAATCGGGATTTTCGTGTTGCGTTATTTCTCGCCGAAATAATACATTCTGCTAACTTGGACGACTTTTCTCGAAAATGCAGTCAGATCCCTGATCGTAATTGAAATGCTTCCAAGATGGAAATTGAGAGTACACGCGCCAAAAAGTTCCTAACTTTAGATGGACCGAGAGACGAACTAGGACACGCATGACGCTACACGTCACATGCGTAGCGTCCCACGTTTTGTTTCCCACGGAGTTATCTCGAGTCGACTTTGAGAGAAGATTTATAAACGGAACTCTATCAACGTGTCGCGTTTATAAGAGGTAATTTTGATACGTCAGATAATTTTGACGCGCCTCTCATCGATTCACGCGTGTGATTACGCGTGGCAGTAAATAAACCCCTGTCGCGTTCGATCGTGTAGAAGTGATAGCGATTATATAGGAAGCCGAGTCAGCAGAAATTGTCGCAAAAGTCTAATCGAGCTCTCATACATATTTCTATATGGATGCTATGTAAATCGAGGCACGTATACAATACTATCGTAAGCGAGTGCGAGCTGATCCCACTGTGTATTTGTGCGCGTATACATGTTTGTTCGCTCTGGTTCAGAATTAAAAGTCAAAAGCTCCGTAGTTGGCCTCGATATTTTATTCGATACGCAAAAAGACTATCCTATCTTTTTCCGAGTAAGTAACACGAATTTGATGAAACTGCGTTTTTAGGTTAAATGGGCGATTGCCTCGGGAGACGACATGGTTAATCCGTAGAAATCCGTGATCTCTCAAACACGTGGACTCCGCTTACGAGAGACGCATGTGAAAGCTCGAAAGTTGTCGATCAACATTCGTCTCGCATTCCTCGGACTTCACTGACTACCACGACGTAAAACGTCGAGCTCCATGGTGCGAATTGTAACTTCAATTGTATTCTTCTTTTAACAAAGCAAATTCTGCGATATAAGCTATAAGACATTTATTAAAAAGCCAAAGGTTCAAATAATTCTCTCAAAATGTTAGAAAAAATCACTGAGATATTGCAATTGAAACACATAATTAGAGAGTTTCCTAGAAATATGAAATTTTGCTTCGCTTATGGATCAGGTGCGTTCAAACAGGTTAATAATGATGGCAATAACATGCTGGATCTCATATTTGTTGTACGTAACGCTAACAAATGGCATGCAGAGAATTTGGTAAATAATCCTAACCATTATGCTCAACCATTGAGATTCTTTGGTCCCAAAACAATCACAAATGTGCAAGAACAATTGGGTGCTAAAATATTTTATAACACATTGGTCAAAACAAATCAAGGTCAGCTCATTAAATATGGAGTAATTTCCGAGGTTTCATTGGTGGAAGATTTATTAGATTGGAATGATTTGTATTTAGCTGGGAGATTACATAAACCAGTTAAAGTAATTGTAGAACCAGATGAAAATTCTCAATTGCGCACTGCTCTGGTGCAGAATTTGCATTCGGCTATACATGCAGCTTTGCTGTTATTACCTGAACATTTTACAGAGATTGATTTTTTCAAAAAGATTACTAGTCTATCTTATCATGGCGATTTTCGAATGATCTTTGGCGAAAATAAAGATAAGATCAGTAATATTGTGCTACCACAATTGCATCATTTTAAACAATTGTATGAACCAATTTTGAAACACTTTGACAATTATATAGATATTCCAAAGTCAGATCACATGATTGTTACGTGTCACCAAGATATCAGTCCAGCGACTAAAATCCATCATTTGAATCATTTACCCAGAATGCCACAAGTTAAATTAGTTAGAGCATGGTCTCAGGGTCCAAGATCAAAAGACACAGAGGATTGTTTGCGCGCTATAGCCCATGATCCAGAATGCTGCGACATATTGGAGCAATGTTTAAAAGAAATTGTTTGGAGATCTAGTGTGACGCAAAGCTTAAAAGGAATTATAACGGCAGGATTTGTAAAATCTGTTAAATATAGTGGCGCCAAAATAATTAAGATGTTACAGTCGAATACCTCCAAGAATATTTTGCCCAAGCCTTCTCTGTCTGATTCAAGCAAAATCAAAGTTGTTCAAACTGTTGTAAAGAAAACAGAACCAAAAAAGGATGTTGAAAAACGCGTCGAATAATTACTGTATTTTCTCAGAAAGAGATAATTCATTTATACTATACATTTATTTATAAATATAATATATATTATAAATATATAAATATATAATATTATAATATTATAAATATATATATATTTATTTATAATATATTTATGATATATATTTGTAAATTCTTAACGAAGCTTGTATCACAAATAAAGTGGATAGTTACATATCAACAGTGTAATATTTTTTTCTATATAATGAGAATGATATTAAATGCCTTTAATTTGTGGTATATGCTCATAGAATAGTAAAACATTTTTTTTCAAGAAATTTTTGTTATAGAAAAATGAAACATTATTTACTTAAATATTATCTAATATCTAAAAATATTAATATAAGAATATTTTATATATGTATATATATATATATATATATATATATATATATATATATATACATACATATACATATACACATATATAAATATTATAAAACATATATACATATATAAAATATTCTTATATTGATATTTTTAGATATTAGATAATATTTAAGATATATTTAAGATAATATTTAAGTAAATAATGTTCCATTTTTCTATAACAAAAATTTCTTGAAAAAAAAGTTTTACTATTCTATGTCTATTGATCATATATATAAAAATGTTTTACTATTCTATTCCTATTGAACATATATATATATATATATATATATATATATATATATATATATATAGTGTTAAAAGTTCAATTTATAATAGTTTTTTTCATGCTTTCAGCATATAACTAGATTATGACAACGATGAATTCTGATTCCGAGAGTCAGGACAGCGATGATGGACGGCGGTTTCGTTTCGAAGCTACGCGCAAAGATTCAGTTGCACCCATAGAGACGGCAGATAAAACAAAGACTCCTAAGAAGAAGTCCAAGCATAAATCGTCCCATTGTGAAAGCAGACACTATCGAACAGATAGATTGAAAGAACGATTGAAACACGAAAGCAATAGGAATACAGACGACAAGGATCTCAAATACTCTGAAAAGCATTCGAAGCATGAATCGAAGAGTTCAAGGCAGGAAGATGGCAGAAATTCGCACAAAGATTATAGAGAGGGTAGAGACGCATCCGCCACAAATGGCAGAGGCTACAGGAATTCCAACGAAGGTGACGTGAGAGAGAAAATTTCGCGAGACTCGAAACGCCAATCGGATAGAGATCGAAGTATCCATCAAATGCAACGAACGCGAGAACATTCGTATGAGCGAAACCATCATAACGAACGAGCGTTTAGTGAAAAATACAAAAGTCGATATCACGAAAGGCATAAGCATCATTCTCGCGATAGGAGTCGAGATAGATCTCATCATTCGAGTAGATCAATCAGATCCTCGAATGGCGACTATCGGTCCCGAGAGGATCAGGGAAGACACGATACTTGTAAGAAGATATCGGTAAGAGAAAACAGATCGCAAGATTCGAGAGACTATTCTAAAAATATCGAAGGAGAATGTAGTTACAACGAGGCTTGTTCAAGCGAAAACACTAAAGAGGATTCGTCAATAGAGATTCAAGACTGCAAGGATTTGGATCTGTCTCAGTTCGATATTCTATCAGAGACTGGTGAGAATATATCCGATGGTCGAGATTCAGCAAGTCGAATGTCATCTCCGTGTTCACGTAAAATTAAATTGAAAAGACACGATTTCGAAGATCAATCCGAAAATTTTGCGAGTACGAAACGAGAAAACAACAGTGATGAAGCGAATGAAGAGAAACAATTAAAGGTAAAAAGAAGGAATTACGATCTGGCATCTAGTTCCACTAATAATAATCCTAGTGCCGTTTCAGATTCCACATCATCCGCGACGTTCTTGGTAACGAGAGAAACTCTTATAGATTCCGTGAGAAAAAAGACTTCTGAACATTATAAAGAAACGAAAATGTTGATTAATTCTGACAGCGAACGCTCGAATTTAGAAGAAAAGTATTTGCAATGTCTCGATTCTTTAGATGAAACGCAATTGTTGGGAAGAAATAGGGAAGAAACCGAATTTGTATATGGTCCACTTTTGCCACCAAAATCCTCATCTAACATCGGCATTACTGTCGGTGACAAACTTGAAAAGACATCATTGAATAGTCCTAATGAAAATAAAATCGACAACAACGACAAGACTGCGAGTTTTATTGGACCCTGTTTGCCACCTCGATTAAATAATGATTATCAAAACGGAAAGCAAGAAGACGCAGAAGATGCTGTTATGATTGCGATGGAAGCGGATATTGTTTTTGGACCAGCACTGCCACCACATTTGTTACAACGACAACAAAGTGAAAATGACTCGCAAGATAAAATTATTGGACCTGTACTACCCGACACTGTGAACTCGCATAAAGAAACTTCGATCGAGTTATCCGATGATGATTATGCGATAGGTCCTCTGCCTGTTGATCATCCAGCTCTAAGAAATAGCCGCGTGCACGAACAGTTAGATTTGAGAGCACAAAAGATTAAGCACGAAGGATATTTGGCAGAGGTAAAACAAATTAAATATTAACAATTAATATTTTTATCGATGAGAAAAAAAGCATATATTCATATTTTAGACTGATCTTGGAAATAAACGCGAGGAATGGATGACCGAGTTACCACCGGCACAAGCTGCTAATCTTGGATTGGGCCCGCGTAAATTCAGACTTCGAGATGGGCCAGATATGTCAGATAGATCATGTTGGACTGACACTCCTGCACAAAAAGCGCAGAAACAGAGAGACTCGGTAAATATAAAATAATATGCTGTTATTTATTTATTTTCTAAACTGAAAAATGTTTGCATCTTATTTATATTGCTATTAGGGATTCTATTTTCTTTATACATTTTATGTGTATACTGATATTCATTATATTCTTTTATAAGATTTAAAGATATTCATTGTATTCTTTTAGAAGATAAAAAGACTCGGAGAACCAGATACGGAACATGTGAAAGAATTTCATAGAAAAGACATCAACGAAAAAAGGAAGTCTGAGAAATCGCTATTAGAAATGCATCAAAGCAAAATTGCGAAGAAAAAGAAGGTAATTTGTTTTGTCATATTTTTCAAAAATTATGCTTTTATAAGAAATAATATTATTATATTATATACTTAATTATATTAAATCAATATGTTTTATACACCTATTTTCCTAAATTTACAATAATACTATTAAAGAAAGCATATTATTTTTCAGAAAGAAGAAAAAGAGGCAAAACAAAGTGGGATATCAATGAGAAGGCCATTTGATAGAGATATTGATTTGCAAGTTAATCGACTTGACCAGACGCAAAAGAAAACTATTCTGATGAAAGCACAGTTACTCGATGATAGATTTTCACGTGGACAAATCTAATATTTGGATTATTATGGTCAATAGAGATAAAATTATGATAATTGTAAATAATTGCTACTAATGAAATTAGATTCTTTCTATTAGGTACACTTTCAAATTGACAGATATTGAGTGTTGTTACAGATCGGTGCCTTGAATTAGTAGAGTTCTTATCATCTTTATTGATCAATTTTATGGAAGTAAATCTGAAGTGAAGTTAAATTTTAGCAGAACGCACTTTAGTCTAGTTATTCGTATTTTCATATCGTGATCTTTTACAATTTAGAATAAATATTAAAGTAAATTTTATTTTAATTTTAAAGAAATGCGCTTATTTTGCGTTTACAATCTTTTTGAAACAAATATATCAAAGAGTACATTTTAAATATATATTAGGAATTATCGAACTAATTATTTTAGTTTCAAGTTTTGGAGACTCGTTCTTTTTTGCGAATTATATTTCGTGGTGCAATACGACGAAATGTGAAGAGTCATTCTTTTTTGCGAATTCTGGAGACTCGTTTTTTTTTTTTTTGCGAATTATATTTTGTGATGCAGTACGACGAAATGTGTAAATTAGAGTTGGACGATATCTTTTATTCAATAGCATTCACTATGTATCTATATTTTGTATATAATATCGTTCCTAAGATCGATGAATCATATACGAGAGTAACTTATAGTAGTAATAACAACGATTGTATGGCGAATTTTTGCGCATGTGTTAAGTAGATACTTCGCTCTTGCTGTATCTGTTTGTCACATGTATTTTTTATAAGTGAGACAGTACAAAATAGTGTGATACTTAGCACTGCTGATATATAATCTCGTACATATTGTAGTGAATATGAAAAACTATGTTTTATGTCTGTGTTTAATTTGCACATATTTTGGAATGTAGTTGCGTGCAAATGAAACACATTATTATTGATTCAAGTACACTTTTTTAATGGCAGTTTTACATTTTCGGAAGCCTGAAACTAATATGTATGTGTATTTCTTTTATTCTATATTAATATTATTAGTTGATAAAATAATTAATATACATTTTAAAGTTGAAAAAAACTGAAACATTCGGCATCCAGAAGTGAAACTTTAAAACTTTGCTAATGTACTAATCTGTGAATTTTATCATTGCACTTTTCTATCATATCACAAAGGAAATTATGTCGTGCGATATATTATCAGGTTTAACTAGACTTTAGTAATTGTTTATTATCTTCTGCTGAAATTCCATGAATTTATGAATTTCTATGCATAAAAATAAATATGTTGATTAAAAAATTGTCTCTAATCTTACTTTAATATTAGTCAATATTTTTACATTAATAACAAATATATAATGATAAATATATGGTGATTCCTGAAAGCGATACGCCCTCTGTAATATAAAAAACGTGGATATAAACTACAAAACCAAGATCCACGAAAGTTCTCAGAGGGTAACATATATGTGCACAATTTCTGATTCTGTTCCGTGCTATGTAAAAAATGCCTGTAGTACACGAAATGCCGTCAGTGCTGTATAGCAAAACTCATATCTATATAAATAAATTTTTAATTTTAATTTTTTAAATAAATTTTGTGGTCCTCTCTCTTTCCCTCTCTCTCTCTCTCTCTCTACACATACACAAATAAACACACACACATATAATATATATATGTATATATAGTATGACGCTACAACTTTATTCTGAAATATCTGCGTTATGTTTATATATATATATATATATATATATATATATATATATATATATATAACGAATTAATCGAACGAATGCATTTCGATTCATCTTATCGTTTGGTATATATAAATATTTAATTCACTATTGGATTGATTGCGTTCCGACTCGCTTTTTTATTCGATATATATAAATATTAGTTTAGTCCAGTAGTCTCTTAAGTGTGAGTCCAAGAAGCAGATTTCGGATATTCACTGTAAGTCAGCCGCTCCTCGGGCGATCGGGACGAGATTTAAACGGTAGTGCCGCGAAATGGTGTAGAATTTTATGCAAAAAGAACGAAATTGCTATCGCGTCCGGAAGTCGAGATATAAATTGGCCGTTTTTCGTCTGCGCGCGGACGGTCGAAATCGTGCACAACGCCGCGCATGTTGCTTGCCTCTCTCGCGCGATATTCATTGTAACGCGGCGAGTAAAATGGCAAGCCGAATGCAATCGTTCGATTAATTCGTTAAATATTTATATATACCGAACGAAAAAGCGGACCAGAATGTAATCGTTCGATTAATTGATTAAATACTTATATATATCGAACGAAAAGATGAATCGGAATGCAATCGTTCGATTAATTAATTAAATATTTATATACGAAATTGGGATTTTGAAAACGCGAAAACGCGATAACGCGATAATACTATAACGCGAAAACGCGGTTACGAAGCGCAGCCGTCCGCGGCACGTTGACGGCACCGACGACGCGAAAGGGTACTTAGCTTCCGTTTTAGGTACCATAAGATTTATCGTAAATACAAAAATTTAAAATAAATCTCAAGGCACCATCCAAGTACTAAGCCCTCCCACCACGACAAGGTGTACCCCATGGGAGGGTTATATTATATATAATTTTATATATAATATAATATATACAATTGCAGCATTTATTTTGCAATATAGTATATAAATTTAAATTTGCATAACAAGACCGTAAAACAAAATCATTAGCACGGTATTGTTCATGTCGAATATTATGTTATTCATTGTTGAAATTCATTATTAAAATATAATATAATTGGAAATGTAATACAACATAATTTAACAATTTTTTTTTTTTTTTTTTTACGTGGGGAAAATGCACCTTATGCACACCCCGCCGGGACCTATTTAACGGTCCCGTCGGGGTAGTGTTGGGCTCTCCCCGCCGCCATTTTAACGGCAGGGACTACCAACTAAAAACCCCACGCGCCTTTCCTTAGTCTTCCAACGCACAAGTCCCCGGAACCATGTGCATAAGGAGCATTATATGGAGTAGCCCTAACAAACTACTATCCTATTATATGTTCATAATATTCACTATATTCAATATTATATACATTTAATATATATTCACAAATATCTGAAAAAAATAATTTTCTTAATATCTTCGATATTAAACTTTAATATTATAAGCTGTTTAGACAAATTTATATAAATAAAATTAATGAAATACAATTAATGAAATTATATATATCTCAAAATATATATAAATATATAAATTTTATAAAAATTATTATTTAAATTAAAATTTTAAATACATAAATACACAAACATCTATATATAAGAAAATAAACATATAAATTTTATATAAAAATTATTATTGAAATTAAAACTTTAAATACATAAATACACAAACATCTATATATAAGAAAATAAACTTATAAATTTTATATAAAAATTATTATAATTTAAACTAAAACCTTAAATGTATATATAAGTATATAAATACATAAATTTTGTAAAAATTACTATTTAAATTAAAACCATAAATATATAAATAAATGAATATATAAATTTTCGAAAAGTTATTATTTAAAAATATTATTTAGATTAAAATTTTTTTTGAAATTTTAATAATAAATCTTTTCCTATAAATTCTATTCATTCTTTAATATCTATTCTTTAATATCATTCTTAATTCTATATTAAATCTTTCAATTTCTATATTTAAAAATAACTTATAAATTCATAAATATACGAAATTTATTATTCATATTACTAAAAAATAGCTTAATATATAAATTTGTATGTTAAATTTTTCATTTAAAATTTCGTATTACATATAAGTACATAAATTACATATAAGTACATAAATTTCGTATTACATAAGTACATAAAATTTCGCAAAAAAATTCGTATTACTATACAAATTATTGAATGTTAACAAGTTAATTTTCATCCTTATATAAATAAAATACCTATAGAAAAACACTCAAAAAATATTGATCCCTTAAAAATTCTTAATATTAATAATATACGTGGGTCGTTTGATAAGTTTGGTAAATTTCCATGAAATTCAACGAGTATTTTGCAAGTTTTGAGACAGTCTATTTTTTTGACGGTTAAAAAATTGGAATCTCGTTCGACCAAGTGTATAGACCTCAATGGAGACTATGTTGAAAAATAACGTAGATTTTTTCCAAAACAATATGTTTTACTTGCTTTTTTATCAAATTTATCAAACGACCCTCGTAATTATTGAAATATTTATTAATTTGATTTCCCTAATATTATTTAAACCTACATTTCCTGATTCCTTAAAAGATACATAATATAAAATCAGCTAAATTAATGACATAATAGTCCTAACAATCCTCTACTTTTTGAATGGAAAATTAAAAAATCTTAATGATCACCTAATAGCCCTAACAATTCTATTCCTCGATTAAGTGAAATTATTCGAGGAAAGCCTATCTCTAATCACGCATATTTTAATTACGTGCCCTAATTACATTCTCTAACCGCATGCCCTAACCGCGTGAATAAATGTCCGACATTACGTATTGTACGTAAAGCTTTTCTTCAGGCCAATTGAACTTACTTTTCGTTGATTCTGGCCACTTTCTCGCTTGATCTCTAATCAGAGATCGAAAAAGGAGATAAACACTCCTTCTTTTGCCGATTAATTATCGGCAAATGAGCGTAAATATTTCACGCTCATCGTAACGATCGCTCGATTTTACGATCGTTTCTTAAATATTTGAATATAACTTTATTTTAACGCAAATAAAGCCAAATTACTACAAATTTCTATATACTATATTTTCTAATAAAATATAAAATTCATGTACGTGTATAACTTTTATGATATTACAAATTATTTAATTAATTAATCGTTTGGCTTTATTTTAAGTTAAAGTAAAATTTAAAAACAATATCTACAAACAAATTCTACAATGGATGAGCTATGATATAAGAAATTAGAATAAAATAAGTGCGCGTTATAAGAATAAAGTAGTATCAAAAATTGATAAAATTGTTAAAATTATTAATGCGTGCTCTTGATTTAATAAACTAGTCAAGTCTTTACAAAAAAAATTTTCTTTTCTTGATTCTCTTTTTTAAATTAATACTTCAATATATTTTCGCAATAGATGCAAAGCATTTCGAAAGAATTTATTAAAAGTTATTTAATTTAATCTATCCTAGCTCATCCATTTTAAGGCAACGGACTTACTCTACAATTCACAATCTACAATCTACAATCTACAATCTACAATCTACATCTACAATCTCTACGAATCCGTTACCTTAAAGTTAAATAAAAGTTTTTCTCACTCACCGGCACTGATGCGCAACAGCGGAGTTGTTGTTATCGAAGCTAGTTGTCTGTAACATACAAATATAAAATTCATTTATATTAATGCTCACAAAATGCAATCAATATTTCAAAAAATTTTTATCGCGCGGAATTTTATATCCGATGTGTAAAATAATAAGCAGAGATAAACACGTGTGGAAAATTTTTATAAAATTTTAAAACTGTGTTTTAAGAAAGTTTTTTAAAAAGTTTTATATAACTTTTATAAAAATCTTTCTCTCTAATTTTCTCTTTAATTCATTTAAATAATAAGATCGAATTATTATGCGTACGATTTATAACAATTGATATACAAATAATAAATATTCACCATCAGGTTGCTCCGCCGATGCAAGATGCCTCTCCCAGGCCTCCTCCTCCTCTCATGTTGTTGACGCGCGATACTTTCAACGGCACTCCCGCACACACGAGCGATATTTTTATATCGCTATTTTCGTTATTTTACGCGCGATACTAAACGGCACTCCCGCACTAATTCGGTACGATTAAAAATTTTGTCGCGCGATGTATATATTTAATATATATATATACTTTGTCCGACACTCCCGGTTTCGGTACGAGCGAAAATCCCATTTCATTTCGCGAGAATCAATTTCGAGCCAACAGGTCGGGAATGCAACGATACAACGAGCAAAGATTAGGCCCGAACCGGAAAGAAGACGAAACGATTGACGGAATAGAGGAAAATAAAGTTCACCAGCTCTTTTTCGCGCATAATTATCCTATCTCGTATCGAACCTGGACCCGCTAAGCACGATTTCAAGTGACCCGCACGGATGCTATATCACTAGCGCAGTACACAAGGCTGATAGACGGTAAAAGAAGAGGATACCCACATTTTTTAAAAGCTAACATTCAGCAATTTAGAAAATGGGGAGGCAACCCCTTTTACCGAGCGAAAATCGTGCCTAGGGGAATCCACTCGACTCCTCGACAGGGTTAACACACGCTAGGCGTATG